AAGGGAAACCCGTCGGGCTATTGGTTGGTTATCCTCGGTGTTTCCTGTGGAAAGCTCCGCATCAAGCTACCGTCATATCCTGGGTGTAGCTTCCGCCTTGCAATGCCACTGATTGTCTCTTCACGAGTTCTGCGCAACAAGCCTGGCTCTTTGAAAGACAAGAGAGCCCGCCGGAAAGCAAGGGACGAGTCGCAAAAATGGGACCCTAATTTTGTTGATGCTCAGTAAAACGACCCTTTGTAGTGGTCCCTGATTTTAGGAAAACCTCAAAATCCTTCCCAAGATCTTGTTGGGACCGGCCACTGTGAACTCCGTCTCGGCCAGGTTGGCCAGCTGAGTGAAGTTCAGATCCATCTTCGGGGGGTCCAAGAAATAGATCACCAGGCCTCACCAGCTCCACCAGCATAGGGACAAGGAGAATTGTAAATCCCAACCTGAGGGCCATTCCCTTGCTAGAAAAGAGAGAGGAGCCCAAGGCGGATGGAGAGTCGCACTCTGGGTCCAGGTCCAGCTCGATTCAGGTATGTGAGCTGAATGCACTCAGAACGACTCGCAAAACCAAGCCTGCAAGTGGTCCACCAGACTAGTCTAGGTGTTTGAGCATCATTTCCCTCTGAGTCTTTCTTTGCGCTGTCCCTTCTCGCTCTTCTTTGCACCGCGCCCTTTTTTACCTTCGCGACCAGGCCTCCCAGGATTGGAGACACATCAAGCAGCGGATCCTCAATTCGCACGTGGCAGGCGCTGTGAACTGCAAACTGCAGCAAACATCTAAGCGTTTTGGTCAAAGCCAGGAACATATCTCGGGACGGTTTTGGAACCGAAAGAGACGCATGATCGAAGGTGTTTACTTTGACTCTGCCACAGGCTGCGGTCAGCAAGGCCTTGTGCACTTTGTGGGTTGCCCCAACCACTTACTCTAAGCAGGTGTACCACACATCGCCACAGGAAAACAACGCAGAGCATCTAGAGCAACACACTGATCTGCTAAAGATGCTCAGATGTGCAAGCCGCACTGAAACACTGACGTGCTGTTGCTGACCCCTCATTCAAGGAAGACTCCGGATGATTTGTTGAGTAGGTACAAGCTGAAGATGGTTCCACTTCTTTATGGAGATTGGCGCCTCTGAATCAACCCAGGATCCGTTCATCAGGGTTAGACAATACTAGTGCTTGAACAAGAACTTCTCTGTCGGCAGAATGCTAGCTTTAAATAAGAGATCGCAAAAACAGCGTGTTACCAATGGTTTTCACAAGCTCCGCTACCCTCCATTTTGCTTCGACTTTCCGACCAAGTTGAGGTGGCCAGCTTTTTCAACTGCAAAGTACCAAGGCTTGCATGACATACAACAATAAAAGCTCATCCGGAAGGTTTGGCGGACATCCACCAAACTCCTGACCAACTCACAGGGGGTAGTCCCTTGTCAATCGTTACTCAACTACTTTATCGTTGCCTCGCCCCAATTGTTGACAGTACTCAAGGCTATTTGCACTGGCAGTCAACTGGAAGCAATTATATAGCTATCCACATTCTGAAATGATGCAATCGCATGCGACTTTTTCAGTACCCCATGCTCGCGTTTGCCAGTTCAGCATCTGACTCCCCTAGGCATCGGTCACCTTTCCATTCCTCAAGACTGGTCACTGATTCAGTCCTTAGTCCTCGACACAGGTCACTCCACCGACCAAAAGCTTCCGCGATGCTGCTCTGAACCTCTCTATGTGAGTTCCTAGACCACCTCAAAGCCATTGAGACTGAGGATCTCACTGTGCAGGATGGAAAGGAAGCCAACTCTTTGACAACCTGACGAAGCAAGTCAACGCCAGCTGTGTCCCTGGTGCCGTTGCAATGCATTCGGGCTTCACGCAACAGGATATGTGTTAAAAGTAAGCTCCAAGGCTGCTTCGGTAGGTCCTCGACACCTCGAACCAGCCAGGCTTTCAAGACACGTGCAACATTCTTGGCTCCCGAATATCTTTGAAAGAACTCCTTCAAGTTTGAGTGCACCTCATCCCGAGTGAATCCAGTTTTTGTACCGGCTATCAAGTTGGAAAATGGCACCTTGTCGTATTCAAATTCCCCATGCAGTGGAACGAACTGCAACTCCGGACCCTTTGGCAAGTTGATGGATATATGAAGCTTTCCGGCAGCCACCCGACCTTCAAGGTGTTCAGTGCGATTGAGTTCTGCTGCCAAGTTGTGCCATCCTGCATCATAGAAATACTGTTCTCCAGCGTTCACAACGTAGTCAACGTCGCTTCCAATGATATCAATGTCATACGCTCGCGAACCGATCATATCAACTTTACAAGGAGCGGGCAAAACGTCTCCTAGACACTGGCCAGCTTTTTCACACACGGTCTGCAGCGTTGCATTTATTATCCTCTGGACGTGCGCACGATATCTCGGCTTCAGAGAATCCGCCAATCTCCGAAGAGCTGCCGGATCATTGAGTGCAGCACGAACTTCCTGGATAGGAAGTGCGCTGTTGCGAGTGCCAGTAGAGGAAGTGACGAATCTCTGATTGGCAGGTGCGGTGAGGCCAAGATCCCCAGTCTGCGTTTGCACAGGTCCTTCTGTCAAGTCTGCACTCATCCCTTTCTGCTTCTGTAATGTCAAATCCGTCTGCGCTGCCTGCTCCAAGAACTTTGCATCTGTCGTGTCTTCGTCTGGTTTCAGCCTCCAGTGCCACTTGGTTTTCCCTCCGATTGCCTCTCGGACTATCCGTCCCTGTTCTTCAAGCGAATACAGGGCGGCATTCACGTCCTTTTTCACCCCGTCCTTACCAGCGAGCGCCTTGGCAATTTCAAGGGTCGGCCTCCATTTGCCCGGTTCTTGAGATAGGTAGTTCGCTATTGCTGTTGCCTTCTCCTCCACTGCGTTTGCATTCCATTCAGCACTGGAAAATCTGAGCACTCGAGGAGTACCTTGCAGAATCAAAGCCTGAGGCGGTTGGCAACAAAACCCTCGTCACAAGCACGGGAACACACACTTATCTTGAGAGGCTTCCATCCCCTGGATTTTCATTAAATTCATCTAATACAGAAAATGTTAACTAGCCGAGATGAAAACGCTGGAAAAAACCTGCAACTGCTGAAATTGCTTGACAGGTCACAATGCAGAACAGAAACCGGGAAGCAACAGCGAACAGGACAGTAAAACAGTCAGGAAAAAACAGTCAGGGAAAAAGAAGGAAAGGCAGGTACACACGGGTGATCAATCCGTGCGTCCACCATCAAGCATAGCTTCATTGGCCAGCGTTTGCTTGATGGCCGCTGGCCCCCTGCTCAAAAAGGCTCCGAAGGGTTTAACGTCCGTGTTCCAGGACGGTTCACACACACAAGGCCCCGGACGGGGCGCACTCATTTGTGCAAGGCCCATTGAGTCTTGCAATCCTCAACCGTGCGGGATAGTCGCGTGGCGATGACAAACCATGCATGCTTGGCCTTGGTATTGGTCTTGAGCGAACGGAGGAGATCAATCTCCTCCTCAGTCCAGGGCTGCGGGGTTTCGAATTCAGCCAGTAGCGGCGTCAGTCCCGGTCGATGGGGAAGGCGCGCGTTGTCTATGAGTAGGCCTGGATGCCATAGAGCGTGAGGAGTTCGTGTCACGAGCGCGACGAGCTCGCTTCTTGTCAGGAGGAGAAGGTGGAGCCCAATGGTCGGGAAATTGTTCACCGTGATCTTCGGGAAATTGTTATCTTCGGCGAAGCCGCCGGGGTGCCTTCATGGGTGTGCATCGGCAAGCTGTTGCTGGAGCTGGAGAATGGTGGCAGCTGAAGCTGGGTCGGTCGTGGCGGTTGGTCGAAGGGAGATGAGGTAGTCGAAGATCTTGCTGGTCAGCAGCTTCATTGCCGCCGGTTTGGTGGTCGCGGTGCCCTCTTGCGTGGCGACGTGGAGAGCGAGGGCGTCGGATTTGGCTGAGTAGCCCAGCAGCGAAGACCGACTCCGGCATGGACTTTGCGACAACGACGCGCACCTCGCCTCCATGGGCGAGGTGGCGCAACCACCGGCTGTTCCACTGTTCGTGCAGGAAGTTGAGGAGGGGAACACGGGCAATGTCCTGCCCCTCGACGCCCACTTGCCGAGTGAACGCGGTGTGGGTTATGACCTTGGGCAGGTCATACCCCGCGACTCGGGCGGTCGTCGTCGGGTGAACTCAGCTGGGGTTGGGACAGAGTGGAGGGGATGAAGCCTTGGAGGGGACGGGGGGCGCGGGTGAAAGTGCCGGGGGGAGGAGGAGGGGGGGAAAAAGGCGCCGGGAGAAAGTTGGGGAAAGGGGGACGGGGGCCGAGGGGTGGTTGTGCGGTTGGTTGGAAGCCGGAAGCAGACTGGCCGGGGGGCTGGCCGTGGAGTTGGCAGGGGGTTGGGGGTGTAGTAGGTGATGTCCAGGTCGTAGAGGAGCATCCGTAGGAAGGCCCCGACGGGGCTCCGCACGGGGCTCCGGCCATAGTGTTGCCGTACATGCCACCATGGTGGTTGGTTGCAGCGGGCGAAGGCTGCTGGGGATAGTTCTGCCTTTGGAGTATCGGTAACAAGCCCCGAGGGGGTTGGAAAGCCATGAGAATACAAGAGGGAAAGGGGACCACGTTCGAACCGAAGGCCTGCAAAAGAGAACCAAAAGGCAGGGTCGAACGGTGAAAAACAATCACACAAAAAAGGCAACAAAGCGAACAAACCGCGCATCAGTCCTTTTCCTGGTCACATGGAATATGTTACGGTCCGCACCCTAGGCCGGGCGCTGCATCGCGATGCCTCTCAGCATGGCATACTTGGAGTGAAGGCACCATTTCTTGCCTCGGCGGCATGCAAAGTGTCGCTGTGCGTTGTGCTGGTCCTTGTGGCTTCCCCCGGACTGCAAGATCTTGTGTTGATTGACAGAGCGCAGTTCCCCAAAAGCGATGGCTCCAAGCTGAGACTTTCCAATGGTGAAGTTCTGAAAGGGTCGTGCCGTGCACAAACATGACGATGGTGGGAAGCGATGCCGGACCCGGCTTCCGGGTCCCCGCCAGCGGATGTGGTCCAAGTAGTTGCGAACACCATGCCTTGCGATTCTCGTCCAAGGAGGTGGCCATTCCAAGGCTGGGAGCGGGTCCAGCTCCCCCAACTCCCTAGGTGTGGGAATTTGTAGTGGATCAGTCTTGGCTGTGTCCATGACGCTTCGCCATAGATCAAGCCACTCTCGGTGGGTCTTGGTCCTCGGTGCCATCCAAGGGGTGTGGTTGGGAGGGGGTGTGGGGCGCACTGCGGCAGGTGCAGGGAAAGGGGTCATGCTGGTGTTGTTGCGGCCGGCCCGGGATGAGGAGCGCGGCTGCTGCCATGACTGCTGCTGTTGCCAGGACTGTAGCTTGCCCTGATTGCTCCAGTTGCCTGTGTTGCTGGTGCTGTGGCTGTGCTTGCCCCAGCTGTGTGTGCTGTGGCCTTGTGGTGCGTGTCCCCACGACTGGTTCCGCCGGCGCGAGGAGGACTTTTGAGACTGGTCGGTGCCCCATCCGGAACAGTGCCAGGAAGTGGAGGTGGGAGGCGTGGGAGGGGATTGTCGTTGGGGGGACCTGCGCTGAGGGGAGCGTGAGCGGAGAGAAATGGGGGTGTGGTGAGATCTCTGTGAGGGGGAAGTTGACTGGCTGGAGCGGCGTGCTCGCTGGGTGGTGCGTCGCCGTGGCGACTTGCCATGTGCCCGGCAGTGACTGGTGCGGGAGTGTGAGTGGTGGCGCCGTCTGCGGCGGGAACGGGATCCGCGGTAGTGGGGCGGGGGTTGGGTGTCAGTGGGAGTCGGGTTGGTCAAGGAAGCGGCGCGGGAGTCGTAGCAGCTGCAGCGGCGGCGCGGGCCGACTGAGGCTCGGGCAACGAAGATGTCATGCTGCTCTGAGCCGTGAAGGGCATCCAAAGTTCGGAAGGCCGCCATGGGGCACCATGGACATCGAGTTGCCAAAGTTTGGAAGGCCAGTGGCCTGTGGGGAGGGCGAAGGCATTGGGCTTGTGGGCTGCATCATCTGGGGTGACAGCTGTAGATTCGGCCCAGCACTGCCTGGTGTGCCGGACATGGTGCCGGTCGCGATGCTTTGCAGGAGCGAATGCATCATGTCATAGAGCTGGTGCCCAGCCATCTCAAAAGGGAGAGAGAGGGTTGGAAAGGGGTGGAAACAAAAGCGACTACGGCTTGATTCAGTCAAGACCTGGACCTTGAAAATGCTGCCTTGTCGATCCAATTCATGTCAAAGCAAGGCATCGCATCAAGGCATCCCATGAACGTGAAAGTGAATTGAACTGATCTGAGTCAGCGCAGAGCGTGAGTCAATGAACTGCAAAGTCGGTGTCTGACCGGCTTGTCACTCGCGCATGAGGCTGCCGGAGCCTGATACCTCATGAGAGCTGCCGGCAGTGCAATGCGAATGAAGCTGCCGGAGCCTGATACCTCATGAGAGCTGCCTTGTTCAAAATGCAGGCAGTGCAATGCGAATGCGAATGGTACCTCACCTGCAAATTCGCTGCCTTGATCATGGTCAATCGCGCTGAACTGCAGCTTGAATTTGAACGTATGAACGGTCTTCCCCTCGCAGGGGGCTCCCGCATGTGGCGAGTCCAGCCCACAGCGCCATGTCGGACAGGCCGTGGGTAAACACACTTATCTCGAGAGGCTTCACTAGCCGAGATGAAAACGCTGGAAAAAACCTGCAACTGCTGAAATTGCTTGACAGGTCACAATGCAGAACAGAAACCGGGAAGCAACAGCGAACAGGACAGTAAAACAGTCAGGAGAGAAAAAACAGTCAGGAAAAAAGAAGGAAAGGCAGGTACACACGGGTGATCAATTCGTGCATCCACAATCAAGCATAGCTTCATTGGCCAGCGTTTGCTTGATGGCCGCTGGCCCCCTGCTCAAAAAGGCTCCGAAGGGTTTAACGTCCGTGTTCCAGGACGGTTCACACACACACACAAGCAAAAAAACATACACGACAACGGCTTGCTGCCGCTTTTCTTTGACGCAGCGTCTATGTCAGCTTCCATTATTGTTGGATAAATGGCGCATAATCGTTGCTGTTGACATCCTTGCACTGTAGAGGTTCATGTCCGCACAACTGAGAGGCTGCTCTGTGCTCTTTTTACTGACAGCGTTGTTTGTCTGATTCTTGCAACATGTGAAGTAAAGTAGGATCTCTTTGTTGCTGCCATGGTCGTAAACTAGGGAACTGGTGTCTGGCCAAGTACTGTACAAATAAGCCCACGTGGCTAGCAGGCTAACCACCCTGAAGGTCAAAGATTGGTTGCGACAGGACCCAACTTTGATTCTCTTGCCACGAAATTCAAGCAACAAGGGCTGACCGCTTCGAAGTTGCTTCCTCTCGGCCTGGCGGAGCAGACAAAGACAGAGACCTGCGTGAAAGTAAGGCTGGAAAAAACAGCACAGACCAAAAGCTTGAGAAGCCATGGCGAAGAGGAATGCCCTCTTGGCATTGCCATCGTACATCAGCGAAGATACATAAACTTCTAACTCTATGTTAAGCGGGCTCAGATAGGACAAAAAGCGAACTCAAAAATCCCACAGCAGTGGCTTCTCTGGCACCATGATCGATGCAAACGGAACAACGGTTCCTTTTTGCTGCAACTGCTTTGCATCCAGTGCTTGGTTTTGCATCGATCCTCCACGGTCAGGGTGCAGCATATTGATATTAGCAATTGGTGGCAACAAATTGTGGGTGAACTCCGATGGTGAGCTCCATAAATAACGTTCTCTATGTAGCAGCACGGGCTGATCCACATCTTGCAGGTTACGATATAAATTAGAATTGCAGTAATAGGGGCACAAATCACAAAACAAAAACGCTTTGGGGAAAACAAAGAAACAATGAATAGTCACTTCTGATGCCCTGTCGTGTTGCCCTTCATGTCTGAGCCACCTTGAGCCCAACCAGCGCGCTAAAATGAGCCGTCTCGTCTTCACTTCAGAAACACCCTTCTTTTAGCGAGAAAAAAGTACTGGTCTTGGGACTTCTGTTTCCAGCAAAAATCGGGCAACAGGGTTCCGAACTTTGCCAAACACCCACTCACGCCAGGGGCTGGCCAGGGTTGCCTGCGGTATGCCAAGCCGCAATGTGTGCAACCGAAAGTGATCTGGCTGGTTGGCATGGGACGCATGCTACACGCATTTGATGCAGCGGGACCTCTAACCCGCTTCTGGTGCCGCTCGAGGCGCCAGACGCAGCACCAGCGTGCCCTCCAGAGAGCAACTCTTCACCCCGGCGGTCAACGCCCCGATGGCCAGCTCCACCTCGCGATCGCTCGCGATCCAAACAGCGTGAGGAGACCAGTCCGGGGACCCGGCGGTATGGGAAAAATGGGCTTTATTTTAGTGGGGTGCATTTATTGAAAGGGGGAACGGAGTATTTACAACGGCTTTTCTTCACTCAAACCCAATCACCGCCTTTTTTCAACCGACAAACACGGGTTGGAGGCGGATGCTGCAAGAAACGAGACGCAATGAGAACCGGACGGATCCAAACAAGGCTGTTGCTTTAGAGATTCCGTATCCAGTCATTCGGGTGTCATCATCGCGACAAATGTCATGGCGTGCCACAATTCAGATACACAGCTCCGCTGAATCATTGGATAATTAGGTGACGCACGCTGTTCCAAATGCAGTCCAGCTTGCATCCACATTCTTGGTGTCCAGCTTCACCTTGATATGCAACTCCTTAGTGCCACGGCAAAAGTGCACACAGCTCCAACTCTCTGCTTTTCGGGCGGAGCCATGAATGTAACAGCCGAACTGCCAGCGCAAAAACAAAATGGAAGTGCAGCCCATATGCAGAATCCATTAACAGGAACCCACATTCCGCTCCATGAATGGCAAATTAAGTTATCGCACGCGACGCGACCCCAATGCATTTTCTCAATTTCCCGTATAAATCATGCCCAAAAAGAAAACTCGAAATTGATCCGGTTGAAATTGCTCCAGGGAAATGGGTATGTGCCAAAATAGGTGGGCTTTCAGTAAATATGTCGTCCTTTGGGTGCCCCATTAAACCTACCCCTCGAAACACACGCACGACCAAACCCTGGGATGGGGCAAAGTTCTCAGCGCCGAGGCTCTAAGCCACGATGGTACTCCTGCGATTTCAAGCAGGGCGCGTCCCAGATGGTGATGGGACCGACGGTGGGCAGCCTACGGCTCGGTTTTGGTTCGACCAAACCCCGGGAGGGGGTGGGCTGGGCCAATCTGCTTGTCTCCAAAACAAAAACAAGACATTTGGATTTCCCCTTAACACCAACCAAAAGGAGATCCCCCCCAAAACTAGAGGACGATTGGCCCGAAAGCATTTTTCCACAGGCGCTCATCCAGCTGCGGAGACACCTTTTTACATCGCTGCGGCGAGCGTGTCTGCGCACGGCGATGCTCAGTGTGTATGGTCACATGAGAGCTCCATCTCATCATCCTACTTTCCTCTCGAACTGCGCCGCGCGATTTCTCACGAAACTGGTCTGCGCAAGCTGCATTGTTCCAGGCTGCCGCGCAAGTTGCTCTCTGCAAGCTGCTGCGCGCAAGTGCTCTGTGCAAGTTGCTCTGCGCAAGTGCTCTGAGCAAGTTGCTCTGCGCAAGTGCTCTGCGCCAGTTGCTCCGCGCAAGCGCTTTGCGCATGTGCTCTGCGCAAGTTGGTCTGTGCAAGTTGCTCTGCGCCTGCTCTGTGCAAGTTGCTCTGCGCAAGTGCTCTGAGCAAGTTGCTCTGCGCAAGGGCTCTGCGCCAGTTGCTCCGTGCAAGCGCTTTGCGCATGTGCTCTGTGCAAGTTGGTCTGTGCAAGTTGCTCTGCGCAAGTGCTTTGTGCAATTGCTCTGTGCAAGTTGCTCTGCGCAAGTTGCTCTGCGCAAGTGACTCTGCGCAAGTTGCTGTGCGCAGGTGCTGCCGGAGCTGCGGGGGTGTGCTCCGCGTACTACGTTTGTACTTAAAAGTTGCGATTCTCCAGCCGGAGCTTCGGGGGTGTGCTCCGCGTACTACGTTTGTACTTAAAAGTTGCGATTTTCCAGCCTGAGCTGCGGGAGCACGCTCCGCATACTACGTCTGTACTTAAAAATTGCGATTTTCCACCCGGAGCTGCAGGAGCACGCTCCGCGTACTACGTTTGTACTTAAAAGTTGCGATTTTCAAGCCGGAGCTGCGGGGGTGTGCTCCGCGTACTACGTTTGCACTTAAAAGTTGCGATTTTCCAGCCTGAGCTGCGGGAGCACGCTCCGCACACTACGTCTGGAAAAGTTACGATTTTCCAGCCGGAGCTGCAGGAGCACGCTCCGCGTACTACGTTTGTACTTAAAAGCTGCGATTTTCAAGCCGGAGCTGCCGCGGACCAAGGGGGAATCGAACCCGCGACCGCGGGATTGCGAAAGCAGGCGCGCAAACCACGAGACAACATCCAAAGGCCGTTTCGCGAGCAAGAATATTGCACGGCGCCACAGCGAGAGCGCTTCGACACGCACAATCTCCGCAGAGGGTTCGCCGAGACTAAGACAAATTCGCACGGCGCCACAGCGAGAGCGCTTCGACGCGCACGATCTCCGCAGAGAGTCGCGCGCGCATGCTAAAAAACGTAAAAGGTCCCCAGTTTTTGAACCTCACGCGAATCTCCGCAGAGGGTCGCGCGCGGCCAGCAGAAATCGTAAAAGTCCTCAGTTTTTGAACCTCGACCACGCGAATCTCCGCAGAAGGTCGCGCGCGGCCAGCAGAAATCGTAAAAAGTCCTCAGTTTTTGAACCTCGACCACGCGAATCTCCGCAGATCGCGCGCGCACCGCAGAAATCGTAAAAAGTCCGCAGTTTTTGAAAACCTCGACCACGCGAATCTCCGCAGAGGGTCGCGCGCGGCCAGCAGAAATCGTAAAAGTCCTCAGTTTTTGAACCTCGACCACGCGAATCTCCGCAGAGGGTCGCAATCCCGAGCGACGGTCAAACTCCCGCCCCGGCGCCTCAGAAACCTAAACTAACTATGTAACTTACTTGGCTCTATGTAACTTGGCTCTATGTAACTTGGCTCTATGTAACTTGGCTCTATGTAACTTGGCTCTATGTAAACTTGGCTCTATGTAACTTGGCTCTATGTAACTTGGCTCTATGTAACTTGGCTCTATGTAACTTGGCTCTATGTAACTTGGCTCTATGTAACTTGGCTCTATGTAACTTGGCTCTATGTAACTTGGCTCTATGTAACTTGGCTCTATGTAACTTGGCTCTATGTAACTTGGCTCTATGTAACTTGGCTCTATGTAACTTGGCTCTATGTAACTTGGCTATGTAACTTGGCTCTATGTAACTTGGCTCTATGTAACTTGGCTCTATGTAACTTGGCTCTATGTAACTTGGCTCTATGTAACTTGGCTCTATGTAACTTGGCTCTATGTAACTTGGCTCTATGTAACTTGGCTCTATGTAACTTGGCTCTATGTAACTTGGCTCTATGTAACTTGGCTCTATGTAACTTGGCTCTATGTAACTTGGCTCTATGTAACTTGGCTCTATGTAACTTGGCTCTATGTAACTTGGCTCTATGTAACTTGGCTCTATGTAACTTGGCTCTATGTAACTTGGCTCTATGTTGGCTCTATGAACTTGGCTCTATGTAACTTGGCTCTATGTAACTTGGCTCTATGTAACTTGGCTCTATGTAACTTGGCTCTATGTAACTTGGCTCTATGTAACTTGGCTCTATGTAACTTGGCTCTATGTAACTTGGCTCTATGTAACTTGGCTCTATGTAACTTGGCTCTAACTTGGCTCTAACTTGGCTCTATGTAACTTGGCTCTATGTAACTTGGCTCTATGTAACTTGGCTCTATGTAACTTGGCTCTATGTAACTTCTATGTAACTTGGCTCTATGTAACTTGGCTCTATGTAACTTGGCTCTATGTAACTTGGCTCTATGTAACTTGGCTCTATGTAACTTGGCTCTATGTAACTTGGCTCTATGTAACTTGGCTCTATGTAACTTGGCTCTATGTAACTTGGCTCTATGTAACTTGGCTCTATGTAACTTGGCTCTATGTAACTTGGCTCTATGTAACTTGGCTCTATGTAACTATGTAACTCGCTCTATGTAACTCGGCTCTAACTCGGCTCTAAGTAACTCGGCTCTAAGTAACTTGGCTCTATGTAACTTGGCTCTATGTAACTTGGCTCTATGTAACTTGGCTCTATGTAACTTGGCTCTATGTAACTTGGCTCTATGTAACTTGGCTCTATGTAACTTGGCTCTATGTAACTTGGCTCTATGTAACTTGGATCTCTATGTAACTTGGCTCTATGTAACTTGGCTCTATGTAACTTGGCTCTATGTAACTTGGCTCTATGTAACTTGGCTCTATGTAACTTCTATGTAACTTGGCTCTATGTAACTTGGCTCTATGTAACTTGGCTCTATGTAACTTGGCTCTATGTAACTTGGCTCTATGTAACTTGGCTCTATGTAACTTGGCTCTATGTAACTTGGCTCTATGTAACTTGGCTCTATGTAACTTGGCTCTATGTAACTTGGCTCTATGTAACTTGGCTCTATGTAACTTGGCTCTATGTAACTTGGCTCTATGTAACTTGGCTCTATGTAACTTGGCTCTATGTAACTTGGCTCTATGTAACTTGGCTCTATGTAACTTGGCTCTATGTAACTTGGCTCTATGTAACTTGTCCAAGGGCTCCGCACGGAAGAACCCTTCGCGATGCTTTCGGGAAAAAGAGACAAGCCAATAGCAACCGGCTCCTGCCCGAGTCAGACACAAAAATCGCTATGTCATGAAAGCGTATCCACGCGAATCTCCGCAGAGGGTCGCGCGCGCATGCTAAAAAACGTAAAAAGTCCCCAGTTTTTGAACCTCGACCACGCGAATCTCCGCAGAGGGTCGCGCGCGGCCAGCAGAAATCGTAAAAGTCCTCAGTTTTTGAACCTCGACCACGCGAATCTCCGCAGAGGGTCGCAATCCCGAGCGACGGTCAAACTCCCGCCCCGGCGCCTCAGAAACCTAAACTAACTTACATAGCTGCTAACGCCGAAGCTCTAAGCTCTACCTAAACTTGGCTCTATGTAACTTGGCTCTATGTAACTTGGCTCTATGTAACTTGGCTCTATGTAACTTGGCTCTATGTAACTTGGCTCTATGTAACTTGGCTCTATGTAACTTGGCTCTATGTAACTTGGCTCTATGTAACTTGGCTCTATGTAACTTGGCTCTATGTAACTTGGCTCTATGTAACTTGGCTCTATGTAACTTGGCTCTATGTAACTTGGCTCTATGTAACTTGGCTCTATGTAACTTGGCTCTATGTAACTCGGCTCGGCTCTATGTAACTCGGCTCTATGTAACTTGGCTCTATGTAACTCGGCTCTATGTAACTCGGCTCTATGTAACTCGGCTCTAAGTAACTCGGCTCTAAGCTCTATGTAACTCGGCTCTAAGCTCTATGTAACTTGGGCTCTATGTAACTTGGCTCTCTATGTAACTTGGCTCTATGTAACTTGGCTCTATGTAACTTGGCTCTATGTAACTTGGCTCTATGTAACTTGGCTCTATGTAACTTGGCTCTATGTAACTTGGCTCTATGTAACTTGGCTCTGTAACTTGGCTCTATGTAACTTGGCTCTATGTAACTTGGCTCTATGTAACTTGGCTCTATGTAACTTGGCTCTATGTAACTTGGCTCTATGTAACTTGGCTCTATGTAACTTGGCTCTGTAACTTGGCTCTATGTAACTTGGCTCTATGTAACTTGGCTCTATGTAACTTGGCTCTATGTAACTTGGCTCTATGTAACTTGGCTCTATGTAACTTGGCTCTATGTAACTTGGCTCTATGTAACTTGGCTCTATGTAACTTGGCTCTATGTAACTTGGCATGTAACTTGGCTCTATGTAACTTGGCTCTATGCAACTTGGCTCTATGCAACTTGGCTCTATGTAACTTGGCTCTATGTAACTTGCACAAGGGCTCCGCACGGAAGAACCCTTCGCGATGCTTTCGGGAAAAAAACGATATACCCAGCTTGTAAAAGTGTTCTGACAGAAAACTCAATCTACATTGGCCCAAAAGGTGATCTATAAACCTGAAAAGCGGAAATCAAAGAACCTCTGAGCCTTTTCCCAGGGGCTCCGCGCCACTTCCCGCTTCGCTCCGCGCAGCACATCGCGTTTTCTTGGCCACGGCGTCGCGTTTTCTTGGCCACGGCGCGTCTTCCCCAAGGTGAACTTTGTGAAGGTGAGGCCCTTGAGGGCGAAGGGCACCTTGTCCTGGATCTTGGGCTCCACCACCTCCTTCATGATCTTGTGCAGGGCCAAATCGATCTTGGGCCAAAGCCTGACGGAGGCGATCACAGTGTCACAAGATGCCTGCCAAACAAAAAATGCTGGGATAGCTTCCGCTGGACCTGGCCAAAGAGACGGCATGCGGCATTGCCGCATACGTGTATTTAAGCCTCGGGGCTTTTCGAGCAGCGGCCTGATCCATTCAAGCTCCTGGCGCGAAGTGGGCCCTGAGACCTATGCGGCTTCATGATGATTTGTGAATAGCTGCTCCAACGTTTCAGCAGTATCCGCGTCTTGTTCAGCACCCATCTCTAGGCAACATTCGCAAAACCTGTTTGAAAAGGCATGCACACATCAAGCTTGGAAATTGTGCTACACTGTGCCGGCAAAGTTGATTGCTAAGTCAGGCTTAGCCCCAGCCCCTTAAGCAGCAGCACAATAATTTCACATGAGGTCACATCTGATTGTTGAAGCGGGTTTCCAAGTCTAGATATGCCTCCTTTTTTTGGTTACTTAGTTTGGGGAGACAAACACACAGCAGCCACGGGAAGTCATATCTGTGTGTTGGAGAAACACAACAACGCTCAAACCCGGCGTGACCGAGTGTCCTCCACCCTAGTCAGCTTCCGCCGCGGCAGCATGTATCCGGATCGGCCCTCAGCGCCATCACACAGTCGCGTCCGCCAATCCCTGCTTTGAGAATGGGCCATCAAGGGGACACCTACTCCCATAGGCAGGCCTCACGATGGACAATGACAGTAACCTAGGGTCCGCTCAAATAGCATTCATGCAGCATTCAGCCGGAAAAAAGGCATGGATGACCTGGTGGTGCTTGTCCTTCGCCGGCAAATAGAAAAGCGCAATTGTTAGGCGCTCAATGGTAAGTTCCATCATTGCCCTCTGCGCGCCGACATGCTCCCCCACTATGCATACATCCAGGGATCGAAACAAAATATAAATGAGAGTAATTTCAGTGACCGAAGGTTCAGCAATATGGTCAGGTTGCGGACAGTGCTGTCAGCCTCTTACAAATGCCTCGCTTGGATACTTAAGAGTCATGGGACGATCCTACCAGTGTCTTCTCTTGGAGGGGCGTGCCTCTGTGGCAGACAATGTAACAATCCTCGCAAATCAAGCGTCCCTTGCGCAGCCGGTATCATCCTCCTCCGATGTGTCGCTGTCATCATCCTAGGCTCCGGTGCTTTCATGTCTAACAAAGACCATGCGGTTCAATGACAAATAATTACTATGCATATATCTATGTCTATATATAAAAATAAAAAAAAGGCTTCGGGATTAGGTGCTTTCTACTTGCAACACCATGAAACGCCAACTGAGAAGCTGAAACGATCGCCAACTGAGAAGCTGAAACGAACCAAGTGCGAGCAACGTCAGTACGTAAGCATTGCAGAAAAGTTCGCATCATGGCAACAATGTGACTAAGCTTCGGAGTACTCTGGTCTGTTCTCCTCCACCACGACTTCCTCCTCATCGTTGTGGGATGGACACGGATTTCTGCAAACGGTGAGGCAAGCAGAGAACATCTCCTCAGCATGCCGCACAGTGTTTAGTGCAAAATCAATCACCCGCTTGCGCTTTCGTTTGAATTCATATGTTTGTGTGGGTGTGTGGGTGTGTGTGTGTGTGCGTTGCCTGTGTATTTTTTTTGTTTGCGGTTGTGCCCGTGTTTGCGTCTGTGTTCTTGCTTATGTTTGTGGTTGTGCTTACGTTTATGTTTGGTTTGTGGGTTTGCTTCTTTGTTTGTCCGTTTGTTCGTTCGCTGGCTGGCTGGCTGGCTTGCTTTGTTTGTTTGTTTGTTCGTTTGTTTGTTTAATTGTTTGTTTTCTTTTTGTGTGGGTTTGGGTTTGGGTTTGGGTTTGGGTTTGGGTTTGGGTTTGGGTTTGGGTTTGGGTTTGGGTTTGGGTGTTGGCTGGCTTGGCTTGGCTTGGCTTGGCTTTGTTTGTTTGTTTCTTTCTTTTGTTAGTTTGTTTCTTAGGTTAGGTTAGGTTAGGTTAGGTTTGGTTTGGTTTGTTTGTTTGTTAGCTTGCTTGCTTGTTTGTTTGATTGATTGTTTGCTTGTTGTTCTTGATTGCTATTGTTTGTTTGTTGGTTGGTTGGTTTATTTGCTTGTGTGCTTGCTTGCTTGCTTGCTTGCTTTCTTGCTTGCTTGCTTGCTTGCTTGCTTGCTTGCCTGCCTGCTTGCTTGCTTGCTTGCTTGTTGGTTGGCTTGCTTGCTTTCTTGCTTTCTTGCTTGCTTGCTTGCTTGCTTGTGTGCTTGCTTGCCTGCCTGCCTGCCTGCCTGCCTGCGTGCTTGCTTGCTTGCTTGTTTGCTTGCTTGTTTGTTTGCTTGTTTGCTTGTTCGCGTGTTTGTTTGTTTGTGTGTGTGTGCTCCTGTGTGTTCTGTCTTTGTGTCTTCTTGCGCATTTCGTTCCAGTGCGTGCCGCCAAGGGTTAGTTGCCTTATGTTGGCTACCTTCCAAATTGGAGCCCAAAAGCCCAACAGGCTCGTTTCGATCCGAAGCTGCACGACGTTTAAAAAACTGAGCCCCGCGCTCAATCCGCATGGCCAGCGCTCATAAGTTGCGAACCCCAACACTGCGTGCCATCTGGCTGCAGCTGGATGCAAACTAGTTTGGATGAGGCAACAAACAATCAACCAAGCTCTGGGAGTTTCACAACTGCATCCCTGAAAATGTTGTGTGTTCCTTGCAACAACATCCAAATAGGGCCTGTCTCTAATTTCAACGTCTTATGCACCCCTTTTGGTACCAAAGGGCTGCGAGCAAAAGCATTCAGCTGAAAGTCAGTGGAATGAACATTCCCATTCGATTTAAGGCTGTGGCTTTGACTCAGCCGACACCAAAGCCAGTGACCTGAGCCGCAAGTCTGCTGCGCTTTGAACCTACAGGCGCCCTCTCCGAGCCAACTGCGCCGGGTGCCGTCGATGGGCCAATACACTTGGTGCACGTTACGTCAAGCAGAAAAACTCATGTCTTTCCCTCAAATGGGAAAATTGAGTGGCCCGCCTGGCAGGTGCGGAAATTCATGTGATCCCCTCGTGTCGTTCCTGGTTTGGCAGAAGCTAGCTCCATGGTATTGTGATTTCCAAACATCTCACTGTTTGTTTCGAATGATGGTTGAACCAGCTGTTGTCACCAACCACCATTGGATGTGTCAGAAGGGCGAAGTGGGCTCATGTTCCTTCAACCATGTTCGTCACCGTGACTCGCCAAAATGCAACGGCTTCCACAGAGAGTGCAACGCAAGGACCCCGATGCAATTTGTTTTCCCCGCTTGTGGCACGCACTTTGGCTGCCTCATGTCTGTACGCTGCACACGCTCGTCACGCCTAGGCCCCCAAAGCAAGGCAAGAGCAGCACTGTGCTTCAGTTCCTAACTTCCCCAATCACATTGGAGAGCAAAGCATACGAATCGACTAACTGGAAGAACTAGGGTGTGTATGCAGAATATGCATGTCTACCTAGATAGATGAAGCAACCGCCTCATGTGGTCATGTCATGTGGGTTGACGGCCGTTCCCTCAAATTGAAGCGGTTGTTCATTGTTCTGATCATGTTTACAAGCGGCTGAATCGCCCAAGCGGGTGCGGCTCCAAATGCAGGTTTATCGCAATTGAAATCAGATAGGAGCAGAAAGTATGTTCCCCTTCTTCCTTTCAGTATCCATTCAGTTTTGGGTGGGCACTTTTTTCTCGGCTTCCTCTTGCATTCCAATGACAGGCGAGCCGAAAGGCTATGCAGCCGCCGCTTGAGGCTCTCTTCCCATGCGACAAGTGTTCGGCCTTCCCCTAAGGCGAGATTGGTGAGCACAGGTCGCAGAGGTTACCCTTTTCTGACCCTAATCGAGTCCGCGGGAAAGATGAACCCGTGAGAGTCAAGCCAATCCGCTTGCAAGCTGGGATCGGCACGCGCGGGCGCCGCCGAGTGCGTAAAGCTTTACTTTGACCTCGCCGCAAGTCGGCAGAAATGAGTGGGCTGTATCAGTCAAAGGAGCCCTAAGTGTTCAACTAGCCCCCAATACTGGATCCACCTCTGGTTGAATTCGGCTTTTGATGCATCCACCACCATTCATGAAGCCTGAAGACTTGCCAAAAACATGCAAATCCTGCTGTGGTCCATGTCCAAGAACTCTTGTGACTTGAGTTAGACCTTTGCCAAACTCGTCATCCTTACCTTTTACGCTCCCTTAAAGATCTCACCCTTTGCGCAAGAAGCGCAAAACGGGAGCACAAGTCAGGCCAAACACTTCATTCGAATGCAGAGGCTGCCCTTTTTTTCTCCAGACAAATGCTGCTGGATCCGGCCAGACAACAGGTCCATGGCAGCGCGAAAGGCTTCCGGTTCCTTGGTAGAATCCAAAGTCGGTTCCCTGCTAAAATAAGGACTCTGATCGTCTTTGAGGGAGCCACTCAGCGCTTTAAGCATTCTATACCAAACTTGGGGTGAGCCAACTTCAGGCATGTCCCAAATACTGGCGACACCCAGAAAACATACATCTGTTCAAGCCTTTTCCTTGCAGAAACCAAGGCACCGGCACCTCCCCGAGCTGCTTCATCTCCCCGAGGCTCGCCAGTGCCGAAGCCCAGTCTTGCGTGGCCCCGCCTGAGCCCAGGAAGCAAAAACCATGGCTCCGAGGCTTTACCTGACAGCTGGCGTTCCGAAAACCTTGCCCACGGGTGAAGGGACGGGTGAAGGGTGGCAATATTCTAGCCAGGTCTGCGGTGTGGCAAGCTTCTGCCTGTAAGCCAAGGAACATGCCCGTAGCGTGATGTTGAGCATGTTCACGGTAGGGTGCACCCCTTGCCTTGGATGCCGGCGGTTTCAACAAAAATCGTGTGTTGCAAACAATCTAGCCAGAAGGGCAATCCATGAAAAACCCCAGTACCAGCAGCAAATAAGCAGAGAGTCCCACGAAAATAAACCTACAATTACGCTGCCACCCTTGCTTGACTCAAAAGGGATGTGTTTGTCCATCCTCACCCAAGCTTTGCTTCGGAAGGCGGCAACCCGCTCGGCTTACTTCCTCTCAAGCATACGGGCTCTAGGAGATGGTCGTTCTGAGGCGCTTCAAAAGCAATGCAAAATTCCTGATGCGAGACATGAGAACTAGGTTCTTTCACCCAGGCCGAGGAGTCAAAAGCCCTAAACCTTGCCCTTCCCATGCTCTTCCCAAGTCTCAGGTCTGGAGGCAAAATCAGCTCTGAGGCTACATGCCCGCTGGGCTCGTTGGAAGCCATTGGCCGCTTCTGCCATAAGCCAAAGAGCTCGCGAGCACTTTGGAGGAGGTCGATGGCGCGGCCCGGGCACTCCAACTCTTCGCATGCCACCATACCCAGCCCATAGCTCTGGGCATCTGGCTGGCAATCCTGGCAAAGATCAGTCAAAGACTGTAGGAATCTGAAACATGTGTAGACCGAGTACCACTGCTTTATTGCCCAAACACATCTGGGAAAGCTTGGGAAACCAAAAGCCTGTGATATTCTACCTGAGGTCCAACCTGGAACAGGCCCACATTGTCGGAAATAACTATCATCTGAGTTGCCCCACGGAGCCCAGACCTTTGAACACATGTCGATTCTCCGTCGACACTGGTCTAGACACCCACAGCGATCGACAGTGAACTGCAAGCTGAGATCACTTGAACCCACATCCCTTGGAAGTGACTCCTCCTGCAACAGCATGTGAAGGGATACCAAAGAAGCAAGCAACTCAACCACGAGACAAGCGCAAGCGCACACACCTCCCAGCACACGGCTCGCACGCAAAAGTCCGAAAGAAGTTAGAGCAACCCAAAGGGCTGGCTACGGCCCAACGTCCGGATTGATTCAACGCATTTCAAGCCAGTTACACCCAATTCAGCTCTCTGTCTGTTTCAAACAGCTTCAACAAAGGAGTCTCTTTGGGCTAAACTGCTTCAGAAACAAGAGTTGCATTTTGTTTTCCTTTTAAAATCCGTGGTCCAAAACTATTTCGAATCACTGACTTTTAGCGCCTGGGGGCCTGGGGCTGACTCATTGTCGGCCCGGGGTGCACACTGACTCCGAACTTGGATCCCAAGCACGGACCATGGGATACAACTGGCTAAATGTGATTGAATGGGATGTCCGATGCATAGCCACTTGGAGGTTCCTCCGATTTTGACACAAGCTGGGCCTCCATCTCCTCAAAGAGCTGATAGACCTCGCCCCACTGCCGACCGCCGGCGCAGGCGGCCATGGCAGCGTTGATGCTTTTGGTGCCCAGTGGAAAGCCGCGCCTCCGCGCCTCCTGGAGAGCTGCGGCACAGAACAAGGCTCGTCTATTTTGGACCCAAAAAATGTGGTGGTGTCCCTTCGTGTCCCTTTAAAAACCAACCAAAAGGGGCCAAAGAAAAAGACACACCCATACATCGTCAAGTGGAAGCAACGGGCAAGCGTTGGTCAGGCAAACCAATGCCTCCATGTCCAAAACGGAGGCGAGTGGAGCACGCAGGCCAATCCCATTTGTTGAGCAGAAAGCACGTCAACGAAGGCTTTTAGCGCTGGCAAGATTGACTGTTGTGCGTGTCTGGTGTTCTGCTCAACATGTGATTGCATCCTCTGATATGTTTTTCGTTCAAGGGCACGGGGCCAGATCCGGTTCAAGGGCGCATGAAATCCGAACTGCCTGTAGAAGCACTCGCGAAGTATTACATGCTGCCTCCATCAACCTGATATTATCCATGACTGGCACTACCCACCATTTCAAGAAACTCCAGTATTCGACAGTCGAAGGACACCGCCAGAACGCCACAGCAAAGCCCAGCATCTCCAGGACTCGTTCCCTTCTCGCCCACTGCTCCCAGCGGCATCCTGCAGGAGGAGCAGCGCCTGCTCCCAAGCCCCGCAGCTGGCGCACGCTTCCAGTGCCGCTCGGAGGAAGTGAAGGTCCGGCCGCAGACCGCGGCGCCGCGCGTCCTGAGTGGCGAAAGCACACCGTGCGGCAAAGGACGCGGGGCTCGGATTTTGTTTGATTCGGCAAGCGCTCTCTCCTAAGCATGTTGGCACGCCACTAGGCATCAAAAAGCTTGATTCGCACATGTGGCACTTTCAGGCTTGCATGCATATTGCCGTTAAATCCTTGGATACATGCGGGTGTAGAAAACATAATTCCTCCACATGAAGGATTCTTCAAGAGTGCGTTTACCGTTAGAACCATTCCAGGTCCAAACTGTCCAACCGCAAAAGTACTGCTAAGATCCTCGTGCGATGCACTTGCCATGTACCATTGCAACGCTGGCAGCTTCCAGGCAGGCTGCCCAGGGTTTTAAAACCGCAGCAACATGTCAAGGGACTACTCTCTTGTGTCGACACCGATTCAGCATTGCCCTTTGATGGTCTGCAGCATCGCTCTGCGGGCACAGTGATGTCAAGCCACTCTCTCTCTCTCTCTCTCTCTCTCTGACGACCCCAGTAAGGTTGACGGGTGTGCAAAAGCATGACAAGAAAGTCGCGCTCGCACGGTGGCTGATCTCTGACTGAGGCCTCTTCTGCTAGAAGTTGCAGCACTCTCTCCCATTGGCTGCCTTCAGCACAGGCACCAGCTACTCTGGCCACAACCTCGCCGCTGGGCTCCTCGACAAGTGCAACACACCAAGGTGTATCCAACATGCTCGCAGGATCGTCTCAGAAGCCAATGAAGCAAACTGATACCTCCAGACATCTGTGAACCTGATGCAAGCTGCCGCGCAACAAACCAGAGTCCAGAGTGCCATCTGTAAGTTCCATAGCAACCTCGTGAAAGGCCATCCGCAATGTTGATAGAATCTACATCCAAATCCTGGGAGAAAAAGAAAAAAGACGATGCTTCACACATGAATATCTTCCTGACAGAACCTGAAAGCCTGAAAGCTCGCGTATCTCACTTATGCTTCTTCCAAACAAGAGACTGAACCTTAGTGGCCTGACGTCGCCGATACCTCGCACGCGAGGCTCGCCTCTTTCTCCTCCTCTGCTTCCTCCAGCAGCCGCAGGGCGCGCTGCCACGCGCCCAACGCCGCACAGGCTGTGGCAACCTGGCGCCGGCCAGATACGCAGCCGGGAAAGGGCGGTGCTTCATTTGTTTGGGAGCTTGTTGGTTGTTGTGTTTGTTGTTTTCGGCAAATATAGGAGAGCCAATGGTGGACATCATTCAAGTCGGGATTCATACAAGCTTCCAAGAATGGGGGGGCTCTGACCTTGAGAAAGATCCAAATGTTTGGCTCGCCGTCCTTAACTTCCATTCAATAGCCACCTCGGGTGGATTCCTTTGATCCGGCAAGAATGGGAACGCGTTTCCTCTGCTCGCGCGCAATGCTCAGAAACAATGCTAAAATGTAGCGAACCTTGGCACCAACAAGAAGCTGGCCTTTAGACATGAACGAACCCTCCACGAGCCAGCATTTGTTCAAATCCCACGCTCACCTGACCGACCCTTTCATTGTACACAGCAAGCATGAAGGCCCAAAAATGTCGCTACATCTGAACAACTGACTCTTCGCCCGAACTGACGAAGCCTACACCAGAAAGTACTGGAGATGCATGGCAATCCACAGGTGTGCAACTAGCAAAAAGCTACTGAAGGTGATGATGCGGGGCGGGGTTCAGTTTGGCAGCATTCTTGATGACGCTGGTGCGCAAAACGTGTACGAGACAGCGGTCAAATCAGCTTGATTTCCAATGCTTGGCAGGCTCCCGCACATCTTTGGACTTTCCACTGGAGGCGTACACAACCAATTGGAAAGAAATCTCGCTCCACCCCTCAAATATCGTCTCCCCCAGCAATTTGACCCATGCTACTCAATTGTTTTGTAACGATAATATCTGTTTGATAGGTTTCAATTCACAAATCAAACCAAAGCTGTCAGAAACAATCGAAAGGGTGGAAGGGAGGCCCAAACGGAGGAAACAGAAACCGGTCATAAAGCGGCTGACATAAAGGATGAAAAGGTCAGTGTAGGAGCCTTACGTAGACCCGACCATCTGCACCCATACCTTGAACGCACTAAGGCCGCGGCTACGCTGAAGGAGTTAGAAGAAGGTTTGATGCCACTCTGGCGCATCTCGTTGAATACTTCCAGCACCTCGAGAGAGCAAGTCCGACGAAGTCTTCAGATCTTGCCGCTTGCTTACATCCTTCCCCCTGCCACCGCTACTCAATCCAGAACATGACACTGTCCACAAAGCAAGGGCATGCATGATGTCAGCACTCACGTTGCAAAGTGCCAACCTCTCTTCGAATTTGGAGAAGCGCCTGATGCCACTCCTGGCAGGCTTCGCAGCAGCTGATCACTGCGTCGCAGCAGGCCGTGTCTGGCACATCTTCTTGCCAGAGCTGCTTGAGGAGCTCCACAGCGTGGATCCACTGCTTCCCGCGGTCGCCTTGGACACGTCTGCTGAAACCCATTTGCTGGAGGTAGTTTTGGCTTGGTCCGGCCGCTGAAGGGTTTGTTGAACACAAGAGAGGGAAAATGCGCACGCGCCTGGTTGAAAGGAGTCTCCAGAACCCGAACCCTCCGATTCGCCGCGCCACAAGCGCGCAGCGCCGCGGCGAACGCTGAAAGGCGCGCGCCGCTTTCTGCGGAGCGCGAGGCCCTGAACTTCCGCAGCAGCCCGAAGAGGCGCAGGGCCTCGACCCGAATCGCACGAGAGGGTCAGTATAGACAGTAGAAACTGAACCGATGCTTTCATATTCTTTCCACATCCCATGTGCTCTTTTGTCGAAACGAGCAACGGATGTTCCGAGCAAGTTTTGGTTCACTTTCTCCAAGCGTCGTGCGAAACTTCAGGCATCAACTCCTGGCTGTTGGCAAATGCTGGTCTTAACCATGCAAAGCTGGCCCCACGGAACTGCAAGTCCTGTGGCTTTGCAACTTCAGACAGCACACGACACTTCAAGTGTACGGCTTCTCAGTTCACCTTGGGTACATCCAGGTGACATGCTGAAGTCGAATTGCGATGAAATACACCATGCTTGCGGCCGGGGATTCACCCTTCGTTCGTTTCTGCCATCCTGTTCTAAAACAACTTGCAAGCAGCAACGCGGACTGCCTCCTCCCACTGTCCACATTCCTCACAAGCACTGATCGCATCGCAGTAAGCTTGCACCTCAGTCGATGACCAAAACAAAAACATGGCTCACTCACACAATCTGCTGGGGCATGATCTGCGGAACCTCCCGACTCTCAAAAACCTGAAAGTCCCCATTCCACGCACTGCACTGATGGTTTGCTATCGTGGCAAAAAGCCAAAAAAGGAGCACCTATACATAAATCCTAAACTCGCTTTGTTTGGGACCCTCGCTACGTGTTTGTCCTCCTTCTGTCTTCTTTCAAGAACAACCCAAAGGGAGTTTTACGAACCAAGATTACGCTGTGGGTCCCTTTAAGTTATCACCCCTTAAAATAATTAAACACAGAATATGGGAGAAACGCGAACAAAGACCCTCCACCTCCAGGTTTATTCGGAGGTTTCTCTGAGAACCTGATCCTTTCCAATGCAAATACCGGCGCCGCCGACATGCAACGCAGTTCGGGGCGCCCCGGGCTGAAGGCCCCGCTGCCACATGGCCGACATCATCTCCAGCGCCTGCGGCCAGCGCCCCGCCTGCCGCGCACTGCGCACCGCTGCCTCGTAGGCACCCAGCTCCGGATCCAGGCCCCGCCGCCTGGAGAACGCGCGCTCCAGACGGGACCCTGGGGCCTGAAAATGCCGGGCCTTCGAAATTGGCTTTCCTTGTGCTCCTCCAAGAAAGGTACCATTGAAAAAGGGCACCCCATGTGCTTTCTTTTTGGGGGAATTCCCTTGTTTGGGGGTGGTTTCAAAGGAAAGAGGAAGGAAAGGAAAACCAGCCATTCTGGTGCGTTTAGTGTGCAATTTCGAGACCAACCCTTTGAACACATGTGGGTAGGAATCTGAAACAGAAATGGACCCGTTGGCGGACATCATTCACATGCGGATTCATTCCCACCAACTCTTTGGGAAGCTATTGTGCATTAAGTTTCACGGCCATGTAGAGATGAACCAGGATGGGATAGGACAGGATCTTAACATGCGAGAATATTCCCATCCCATTTGGGCTCGGCTCTACACATTTGGGGACAACCCAAAATGGGTTCCCCCAAAAACAAGCCCCCCCACCCACCCACCCACCCACCCACCCACCCACCCACCCACCCACCCACCCACCCACCCACCCACCCACCCCCACCCGATTGTCCTTGCCTCATCTCTTCCAGCAGCTGCAGCTGCTGCTGCCACCGGCCGTCGCACGCCCGCACCACAGCGCTGCAAGTGGCGGCAGTGGGCGGCACGCCGTCTGTGTGGAAGAGTTTCCGCGGGCTTCCCCCGTGCCCGGATTTAAACCAGGCCCATTTTGGAAGACTGCTTTTCCGTTGGAGTGGTTTGGAGCTTTGAACCTGTTCCTCTAGAAGCCAGATGACGCTACCCCTTCACCTCCAAACAAATCCAAGCCGCCAACTGGGCACAACCCATAAAGCAACTTGAACGTGTGCTTAGACAAAAGTCAGTTGGTTTCAGACCATCATGAGGTCTGGGCCATGTGGTTTCAGTGTTGCTTTGGCGGTGAACAGGGGAACTGGGATGCCACCAGGCAGGTCCAGCACTTCTCCGGGAAGATTTTGTCTCCCCGATGTTTCACATGTGTCTCAAATTTACTAGAGCTGATCATGCCATGTCTCAATTATCCCACTTTTTTGGTGGGAAATCTGGTTGAATGATCCAGTTTCACAAACCGCCATTCAGCTCTTGAAGGAAATGGTTTGAAATAAGTTGACTCAAGGATTCTACTCTGCAAATATTATGTCTGTCGCCGTTCTTTAGGAACTGCCTCCTCTACTGATGGCAGCTCCGTTTGCTCTCTTTACCCATCCAAAAGCGCCCATCCTGCCCGTTGGCTGGCTGGTTGGTTGGTTAGTTGGTTGGTTAGTTGGTTCAGGGGTCACTGGATTTCCCCTTCAAGAGTTGCAATTGACTGGTGGTGTCCCAAAACGGGAAATGGAGGAAACTGTTGGTTGGCTGGCTGTTGGTTGGTTGCTTGCTTGGTTGGTCAAAAGAAGCGGCCGTCCATCCCTCCTGCCTCGCAGCATGGCCTTGTGTAGGCCCAGCGCCTCAGACCACTTCCCACCGTCTGCGCAGGCGCCCAGCACGGCTGTGTAGCTGATCAGGTCCACCGCAACACGCTTAGACCTAGGAGATAACCCAACCAAAAAAGTGGATGTCCCCGGGTTGACTTCTCTTGGTTTCTTTTGGCTTCTCTTTGGATTCTCTTTTGGTTTGCCTTTTGCTTCCCTTCAAAGCAATCCCAAAAGGGTAGGCACGTGCCCGTTTTTGGACACCCGCATGTCCGACATGTGACATATCCTTTCAAACGCGGGCCACTGGTAGAAGCAAAAAGACCCTCGAATGTCATAGATCAAAGAAACTTCTCCTCAAGCAGGTGGCGTGCCCCGTGACTCTGAGTTGCAGATGGCTGGTTGGTGTCGCGCACTGTGAATTTCTTGAATTTGCAACAGGTGACACCTCGCTACGCAAGCTCCTTCTCCCGCCAAGCCCCAGGAAGGGGTTCGTGGGGCACGTTCACACTTCTGTCAGTCACCTCTTTTGGCGGCCTTCGCTGAACATGCCATGAGCCGTTGGTTTCTTTTTACACAAGCACAGTTCAGTCTTGCGAGACTCTGAGAAGCTAGGTTCCTAAAGCAGGCAAGGCATAGCTTGGTGCCATCCAATCTTAGGCGTCCTAAAGTTCTCTAGCTTTATTGCTCATGCTTCTCCTTCGCAGGTGAGCAAGGGATTTGAAGAAGGCAAACTTGAAGCCTTGCCAGTTCCGGGACGGCTGTCGCATCTGTCGAAACAAGTCAGCTTAGGTGTTCGGGGTCCCCAGAATCGGGGTAGTTGGGAAGACGCACGGCGTGGTCGAAAGCACGCTCTGCGCCCCGCAACCAGCTAGTTGGATAATACCAAGCTCTGCGAACCCAGAAAGGCCTGAAGAGAATGTCATGTCACATACCGATTTTGGCCCAAAGCTTCCTCCCGCAGCTGTCTCCAAGTTGCCTCATGTCATCGAAGAGCCGCAGCGCATCCTCCCAGCGGCCTGCCTGCTGTTGCGCGCAGAGGGCGGCGTTGCCGGAGACCGTGTCGAGAGGTAGACGCTGCCGCTGCATCTCCTCGGTCCACAACTCGCTAGATCTACCCAGCACCAGTCAGCGAGTGGGGTCAAAATGCCTGGTCAAGAAGCAGCAAAGTGGCTAAGTAGGGCAAATGTGGGCGCTCTTCAACATTTCCCACTTGCCGAATGGTGTGGCACTCCAATTGGAGAAACCGAATGGATTACCACAAGCTCGAAGTCGCAAACGTCCCTCCTTTTGCTCTGTTCCGATTGCGGGTCTGGTGTTTGTGTTGGCAGTGGTGGTGGTAGTGGTGGTGGTGGCGGCGGCGGCGGCGGTGGCGGTGGCAGTGGTGGCGGCGGCGGCGGTGGCGGTGGCAGTGGTGGGGTGGGGCAGGTGGGGTTAGGTGGTGGGGGGTGGGTGGTGGGGCTCCAGGGGCTGGTGGTGCTGCTGGTTGTGATGGTGAAGCTGGTGGTTCGCATACCGTGCTGAGAAGTTTTCCTGCCAACAGTGCAGGGTGCGATTCACAGGCCAACTCAGCTTATTGCTTAAGCGATCAAACAAAAAGATGGATGTGCGGGCCACTGTTTTGAGATAAACCCGTATGTGAAACTACCACAATTCAAGCGTGACACTTCCCCGAGCAGGTCCCCCTCAGCGCTAGGAGGGGGGGAAGCCAAGCTGCATCAAAGATCTTTAGCGCAGGCTGCCACTGCTGGTTCTTGACGCAGGACCACATGGTCGCAGTGTAAGTGACGCCATCGACCGTTGAGCCAGACCTCAGTCAATCGGATTCAAACGCAGACGCATGATGTCCAATGTGCGTGGCGCTCAAGCTGACAATACGACTCCTGGAAGCAGTGGAGAGGCCTGACAGAGAAGCCTTGCGGTCTTCGCACACTACTGTCACCAACATGCATCGCACAAAAGGTACGAAGGCTAACGTGGGTGCAAGCGTGCGCACCCTGCCAGTGCTGAACACAAATCGCACCTACACGGCTTCGGAAGTTTTGAGTTTTGAGCCCAGAATCGCAAAAAGGGCAACCGGAAACTGAAAAAACAATAACCCGGCAAGCGACCCAAACAGTGGGCCAAAAAGATTAGAAAACATGGTGAGACAGGAATCACATGACAAAAGCCGCGGCGGATCCGTGGCGCGTGCTCACTTGCTTCTGTACAGAACTTCTTGAAGTGACCACACAGGGTCTCCATAGACCTTCAAACAGGAGCCTTCTGAAAACTCCTTCAGGCGACCTGTTTTGGAAAAAGGTTCCGGCAAGTTTGATTGAAACAAAATCTGCTCATGGTTTGGCACAAAGTCCTGGACAAGACCTCTGTGGAAGGATCTTTTCAGAATCTGTGGGTAGGATCTCTTGTGACACGACCTGCGCGCCCGATTTCTGAGACAGTCCTCTACAAGCGTTCTGTTCAAGATCTGCTGAGAGCGTCTTCTGCAAGATCGCTCAACATGAAGTTTTTGCAGGCCTGCGCAAGACCTTGACCGGCGCAAGGTATTTGTGGGAGGATCTTTACAAGAACTCTGCACAAGAACTCCGGGTAGGCGCTCTTTGACGCAGTTCTTTCTTTCTTACCTCTTTATTTCTTGCTTTTTCCTTTCTTTCTTCATGCCCTTCTTCCCTTCCTCCGAAGACCCCAAACAGATTTAACCAGACCTCGTGAATCATAGCTTGCAGCAGGGCGCTCCCCTGCAAAAGCCCCAGTTGAACACAAGGGTAGACAAAGCGCCGTCCGACCTTGACCGGCCTTGCAGCACATACGAAGGGATACAAGGGGTGACAAGGGAGGCAAGTTGCAGCACATAGGTAGGGAGACAAGGGAGACACCCGTCCGACATTGACCTGCAGCACATAGGAATGGAGACTTGAGGAGCGGGTGAACGAAAGCTAGCAGTTGTTGCATGAGATGGGTCGGTGACAGAGTGGATTCATAGGTAGCTTGTGTACAACGAGAGGCCCGGCAAGATTCGTAGGATGCGACACGCAAACGCACATGGTGGCGTGGCAAACCTTGAAAAATGAACAACGAGAGGCGTCAGAAGCTGGCTTAAAGCACCTCTGGGTTCTGCATGCTGCGTGTGCAAAGATTCTTGCGAGGTGGTTTACCGAGAAGACTGAGGTCTCAAATGAACAAGCTGAATCGGTGGAACATGTAAAAGTTCGTAGCACCAAGTCCAAAACGGGCAAACCGAGACTGCTGAACACTGAGCCACTGCCTGGGGGATGGACCAGGGAGGAATCGAGCCTGAGACCGGGGGGGGGGGGAGGGGGGGGGGGTCTAAATGATTGATGTTTTTCAATCTTTTCGGCTCAAATAATTGAAAAAATCAATCTTTCGGCATTTGAGCCCCTTACCTTGCTTACGCAAGGAGAAACTTCAGCTAGCTAAAGCTAGCTTTCGTGACAAGGGAAGGCAAAGTAGCAAGAACCTGTCCAACCTTGAACAGGAGACAAGGGGAGACAAGGGGAGACAGAGCGGCAAGAACCCGTCACACTGACAGGAGACAAGGGAAAATAAGGGCAGACAGAGCGACAGGAACTTGTCCGAACTCACACAGGACAGGAAACAAGGGGACAAACTGGCAAGACCCCGTCCGGTCTTGACCGGCCTTGCAACACATATGAGAGGAGACAAGGTGAGACAAGGTGAGTAGGGGAGAAAGAGTGGCAAGAACCCGTCCGACCTTGACCGGCCTTGCAGCACACATGAAGAGAGACAACGGGAGACAAGGGAAGACAAGGGAAGACAAGGGGAGACAAGGGGAGACAAGGGCAAACAGAGCGGCAGGAACCCGTCCAATCTTCACCAGCTTGCAGCACATATGAAGGGAGACAAGGGGAGACAAGGAGAGACAGAATGGTGGAAACCCGCCAGGCGAACCCGTCTAGTCTTAAAATAATCAAGAACCCCTACAGTGAACTGCTTGGGGAATAAGACCCACCCCACCCCACCCCAAGGCCCCCACTGCTGAAGCGACTCCAGCAGCTCCAGGGCTTCCTGCCAGCGGCCCCGGAGGCCCAGATCCCGCACTCGCCTCGGCTTTGGATCGATCCGATTGCCACCAGAAGCCACCAGAGACCTAGCAGGATTAGTTCAAAAAAAGATGTCAACGCCATCGCAAAAAAATCCTCCAGGTGCGGAAACCCGTTGATCCCACTTCAGGCACTATGTGGCTCTACCCCTGAAAGAAAACGCTGGCGGTCGCGCTTGGGAAGGCAGGCTGCTTCGCATTTCGGGGATCTCACAAAGTATGAGGAGCACGCAAGTTGACCTACAAGAAGCCACAATCCTGTGCTGTCGGCTAGATGTGAAGCCTCTTTTTCAAATATGGTTCGGGAATCAAGGCACCTTGAGTTTGCCTGAATAAACATACGGGAAGCAAGTTTTGCCCAACACACACTTTCACCCAAAACTAGAGACCGCTGCCAATGGTCAGCTTCATGGTGGGCTTCCCTCTCAACTACTCTGGAAAACAAGTTGTTCGCCTTTTGCACATCGGTCCCACTTCTTCTCTTGCAGCCAGAGCCGCCGACGCGTCTCCACGTCGTTCGACGTATCGCCGCTCATGGCTCCCAGTCTCCGCTGGCATCCAGAATGGAACGAGTGCTAAACCAAGAAACCAAGAAACCGATAAATCAACAGGATGTCAACATGCTTTGTTGGGTTTTGACAGGTGCTGGGCCATCATGCGAAGCTCCCCCTGGCTTGCGTGACAAAATCTGTGCGTCAGTCCTGTCAGCCCTGTCGGCAAAGGAGCAAGACTGGGTGTTTGTTGCCAAAGTCTTCACAGAACTGGGCAACAAATCTGCCTTTCTTATGCTGCTACGATGGGCTGATCAAGTCAGTCAAGCAGCACAGCCCAAGTCGCTGACTTTCGCATAGGTTGACAAGAGAGCTGGCTCAGCAAACAAGTTGAGGCATCTTGTCCGGGCCGTGTAATGAACTTGTCACATCTTTTAAATGGCACAAGGCTGCTGGCAAGGCGAAAATGGTCGAGAGTCTGCGGACTGGGGTCGACCGGGTTGAGGCTTGACACACCCTGAGCACCCCACCCAGTGAGGCTTGCGCCAAACCGCCCATTCCTGAGACGCAGGTTGACACCTGCCCAAAGAATTACGCTGGGCTACTTCGAGCGTGGCCAAGGGACCAAAGACACCACAAAAAAATATGACTCTGAATATTCTCAAATAATGGCATGCGCGGAGTTGCAGCTCCAGTTGCAAGCAAGCTGCTCCCAATCGGAGGCATCTCTGGGCTTCTGGGTGATTGGACCCATCGGCTAGTGGGTGCTATGTGCCAAAGGTCGCGTCTTGCACGCGGCCTTGGCTGTGCGCGCGGGCCAGAGGATACCGCGCCACTTCAGCGGCCTGACATCTTTGGTCAGGCCTCTGCGCTGTTGCCTGCGGCTCCCATTGAGCTGGGTTCACCTGTTGCAGCCTAAGCTCCACTTGGGTTTCTGGAAACTGGCCACATGTCTGTGCCGCTTGCCCAGGGCTTTGGAACTGTACTTGCGGAGGTGGCCCGACCAAATGCTGCCGCTCATTTGCCTGCTGGAATGCCTGGTTGCATTGCTGCTGAAGATGTTGCTGCTGGATGAATTGCTGGGGCTGCTCCAACACATTGGGCGGCTGCTGTCCAAACACATTGGGCTGTTGGGCTGGTTGGGCGGAACCCTGCCCTAGTGTTTCTCCAGTACTCTGAAACTGCTGATCAAATTGCTGGAGCTGTTCAAACGAAGTCGGCTGCTGCTGTCCAAGCGCAAATGGTTGCGGCAACGTCAAATTGCATTGTTGTGCCTGTGCTTGCCCAGGGCACTCAAACTGCTGCTGAGTTTGCTGCGCTACATGATGCGGCTGCTGCTGAGAGTTGTTTGATTGCTGGAACGGTATGTTGCATTGTAGTGCCGGTGCTTGCACACGGCTCTGAGACTGCTCAAGTTGCTGCACACCATCCTGCCGCTGCTGCTGAAAGTGTTTTGGTTGTTGGAACGGCGTGCTGCATTGCCTTGCCGGTGTGTGCCCAGGGCTCTGAAACTGATGAAATTGCTGCACCACATGTTCTTGCTGCTGCCCGTCGTTTGGTTGCTGGAACGGCATGCTGCCGTTCTGTGCTGGTGTTTGCTCACGGTATTGAAACTGCTCAAGTTGCTGCACCACATGCTGCCGTTGCTGAGAGTCGTCTGGTTGTTGGAATGGCATGCTGCCTTTCTGTGCCGGTGGTTGTCCACGGTACTGGAACTGCTCAAGTTGCTGCAGCACATGCTGCCGCTGCTGCTGAGAGTCGTTTGGTTGCTGGAACGGCATGTTGCATTGTTGTGGCTGAGAGTCCATTGGTTGCCGGAACGGCATGTTGCATTCTTGTGGCGGAGAGTCGTTTGGTTGCTGGAACGGCATGGTGCTTTGTTGTGGCTGAGAGTCGATTGGTTGTTGGAACGGCATGTTGCATTGTTGTGGCTGAGAGTCAATTGCTTGCTGGAACAGCATGTTGCTTTGTTGTGGCTGAAGGTCAATTGGTCGGTGGAACGGCATGTTGCATTGCTGTGGCTGAGAGTGAATTGATTGTTGCAGCGGCATGTTGCATTGTTGTGGCTGAGAGTCGTTTGGCTGCCGGAACGGCTGCGGCTGATTGCCCATTGGTTGCTGGAACGGCATGCTGCATTGCCCAGGGCTCTGAAACTGCTCAAATTGCTGCACCACGTGCCGGTGATGCTGCTGACCGCCATTTGGTTGCTGGAGTTTCATGCTGCCTTGCTGTGCATGTGCTTGCCCTGAGTTGGGGAGCTGGTCAAACTGCTGGCAAGGTTGCCCAAAGCCCTGTGGCTGTTGCGCAAACGCATTTTGTTGGAAAGGCTGGTTGCATTGCTGCAGTGCCTGCGAGTGTGCGAACTGCTGGTTGAAATGGGGTGGTTGCGGCACATGTGACTGTCCTTGGGCATTGGGTTGGAATACGTTGACTTGCGGCAGAGGTTGGCTCTGGAACTGGTTGAGCTGCTGACTCTGTGGGTTTTGGCTGCACTGCGCATTCGGATTCGCCATGCCGTGCTGGCTGCGGCCATCCTCTAACGCACGGGCTCGGACAGTCCTCCGCTTGGGCGCCGCCCGGTTCCGGTTGCCCGGCGTGGGGCCGGCCTCCGGAGAGTGTCGCGCCTTGCGCTTCCTGTCGGGCTCCCGGTAAAGGTGCACAGCCATTTGGTTCCTCAGTGCTCAATTGGTGGTTTGGAAGCTAGAAACAAAGCAATCTCCAAACGCCTCCTTGCGCCTTTGAGGTGTCGCACGTTGAATATGCAAAGAGCAAACATCGGCGGTGCCTGTCACCCAGACCAAACAAACCAATGTTGGGTGGCTCCCCCTTCCCTTGTTCCATTAAATTGATCCTGAAGGGCAAACCTTAGTCAACTTGTTTCACCAGCTTCTTGTCGAAAGGCTCCCCCGACCCCACTTCGAATGCCGAAGGGTCTGTAGCAACGCCTCCCCATGGCGGCCCTCCACCAAATACGCCACCGTGACGTTGCCAGAGGCGCCCCCCGGGGTCATCACCTCCTCCGCTAGCACCGAATCCACCACCAGCCTTGAGCTTCCAAAAACAAACTACCCACAAAAAGAGCATGGCATTTTGGTTGGCTGGACGAAGGCAAAGGGATGAAGCCACTTGACTGGCTTCATAAAAGTCAGAATAGAAGCAACGTCGTTGTTCAACAAGCAAAAGCGAAGCGCCAAACACACCGAATCCTGAAATTTCTGCTCGGCAGCTTCCGCAGCAGCCGCAGCGTGTCCCCTTCCCCCCAGCTGCCTTTCAAAGCGCCGAAGCCCGGCAGCGCCTCAAGCACTCCAACCCTCAACTGTTCCCTGGCTCTGGGAGAAGTCAAACAGCTTCATAGAATGATCGCGGACAATTGTTGAAAGACAACGTTTCAGTTCCAGCTGGGCACCTTCCCAGTAGAATACCAAAACAAACCACTGGTAATGTCTCCCTCAAATGCCCGAATGACCTTTCAGGCTGGGCAGGAAATTGTATGCTCCGATGCTCAGTGCAGGATACGAACAAGGAAGAACTGATAAGACTAGTTTGGGGAGGCCATGGGGGACCACCCAAACTTCCTATAGAACGGAGGGCCACCCAATTTTCAATGACATGTCTTCACCGCCACACTCCCAAAAAAAGCATCCACTGTAAACCCAAATGATCAACAGCAACCTCCGGAGCCCTTTCAAAACTCCAGCCCGGAGCTCCACGCTGATCCCCTCCGAAACTCTTCGGAAAATCCAGCCAGCCCCGGAACACCTCGGAACCCCATCCACGCAGGTCTCCAGGACTTGCACCGTCCAAAACCAATCCAACACTCGACCTGCCGGAACTCCGGGCAAAGGCCCCAGAGCTTTCAGCTATCCTAAAAAGAAACAGCCCAAGCAAAAACCCTGCCCAAAACCTCCCAGCCAGAACTTCCCATCCCCGACTCCCCCACCGACCGCCTGCCACTGCGCCATGCGCTGGGCCTTGGATCCCAGCAGCGCCTCCTTAACCGAGTGCAGCGTCACCGCCAGGCGCCCGCGAGCCGTCACCGCGCGCGCCGCCCGCAGCAGCTGAAGCGCCACCTGGGCCTCCTGCGTGACCTCACTGTCTCTTGGTTTCAGGGGAGTTGCTTGGAGGAAGACAAAAGGAAACTATAGGGGAAAACCTCCACTGGGAGGGAGAGGTCGCTTTGGACAGAACCCCAAGTTGATGATTTGAGTTGCTCACCTTTGGGCCCTCTGACGCCAACATCCCGGGCCTCCTGCTGCTGCAAGACCTGGCCTCTTTGTGCCGCTCGGCACACATCGCAAGGGGCCTGGTGCACGCCGCAGGTGGCGTTCACATCCCCGAAGTAGCCGGCGATGAAGGCGCGGCGGCAGGCGCCCAGGGCCTCACAGTAGCCCACCATCTGCAGCAGCCGCTGAAGGGACTTGTCCTTGTACCCAACGCCCTAGGTGCGTCAGAATCTTGCCTCTGGCTTGAAGATGGTGCAGTAGCTGTAAAACAAAAAACAACTTAAGTTTATGCGACGGCAATCAAGATTGAAAGCCAAGCTGGTTCACTCCGGTAATCTTGAGTTGATGTTCTGCCCCACAGTTGGTGCAACATCTACTCGGCTCCTGGTTCATGTCATTCTGTGCCAGATTCTGATGGCGCTTCTTGTCCTACAAGACAAGACGCAAATGGTCATTCGGCGCTACCTGAGGACCACTTGAGTGAAGGGTGCTGATTGCCCAAGCATTTCTTGAGAACACGGCTGCTGTTGCTTTCAAAACCCCAGCAGGCTTTGCAGGCACTGTCCTCGTAGTCGTAGAATATAGTGCAGGTTGCATGACCTTCAAGCGCAGTCTAAAAAATGATGCTGAACTCTTGCACGGCCATTTAATGATGCGGTGTCGTTTCAATCATGTGCACAAAGTCTTCGGTTTGAGAGATGTTGGGGTGCATGTGTTCAGGGCTTCCAGCGTCAAGTGAACCTGAGAGCTTCGCAGCCATCGCGCCCGGCTCGCCCGGCTTCTTGGTAGTAGCCTGGCCCACTGCCCTTCCCTTTGACCAATCCAAGGCAAGCAGAATTTGAAGATGTTCACTGAAGCCTTCGGCACGGAACTCTCGACTCGGCACCCACTTGGCGCTTGCTCTGACCGCTCTACCCGTCCATGAAAGTGGGACTCGAAGCAAAACAAGCCCTCTTTCGTTGGCTGTCAAAGCCATGGCTCGGACTTGTTAGGTCGAGCCGTTTGGCCATGTTCACACTCAGATTCGGATGCCACAATGCGCAAATATGCGCGAAAACAATGTGCGTGAGTGGCCAAGTCACACTAGGCACAGAGGGTGTGATGCTAGTGACTTGGAAGCCGATCCGCCAGCATGTCAGCCCGGCTCCGCTGCCTTCCAAAGACTTTGGGAAGGAGTGGTGGATGACAAAGCGCACCTGGGCGGCGCAGAGCATCTCAGCACTGCCCGAGATTGAGCTGTCAGAAGCTGGGGGCTGCCTTGCTCAAACGTCCACTGCATCTCCGGGCTGGTGGATTCGATCCGAAGCTCCCGCTCCGAAAGTCACACGGGTAGCTCCAAGCAAAGCTCTAGATGCGCTTCTGTGTGCATCTGAATCATTCATTCCTTCCTTACCCCCTGGCAACCAAACGCGTTCCACTGCTGGGAAGAAAGCCACTGGTCAAGCTCGAAACTTTTCTGCCAGGCTTCCCCCCCCCGACCCCCAGCTTTTCATCTACAGCACGTCCCGTTTGTTGACGCCCATGCCGAAGGCAATGGTTGCCACGATGATGGGCGTCTCCCCAGACCTAGACCGACCCCAGCACCATGTCAAGGGCCAGGGGGTCATGTGTCAAAGTGAGCTCAGACTCTTTCCAAATATGCAAGCCAAGGTTGGTTCAGTGTTGAAGTGAGCAAAAAGCTAGGACACGTGCTCAAACCAGTGATAGAAGTCACCTTTTCGACAGCTTGGCCACAGCTCAAGAGCTCAAGCTGGCACCGCAACCTCCACCCTGCTGCTTTGCTAAGATGCCAACTTCCATCTTTGCTGCCTTGGAACCAAGCAGAAATGTTTGTTCTACGTGCTGACATGTTTCTTTGCCTGGCAATGCTCTCCAACAACTTGGGCCGAGGGGTCAAAAAACACAGCTCTGCCTGATATTGCGCAGCGAGAATCTGACAACTCGAACTCAAGGGTCAAAGGAATGATGAAACAGAAAACGCTGGCACAAACAATATGACCAGTTTCCAAGTTTGATGGCCCCTGGTTCTGTGGCAAAATCGCGAGTTCCATCCACCCTCCTTCGCGCGCGCCTTTCCGTTGCAACCCAGCGGCACGGCAGACCTCTGATGCAGGGCCACCTGCGCGTGGTAGACCTCCGCACCTATGAGAAAGGCGCCACATTTGTCAATGGTGAGGAACAGGGAAATGAGTATGTTTTTTGGTTCGGTGGTACCCCTGTTTGGGTGTTTCAAAGGGAAACCAGAGGCAAAGCGACCATTTTGGGGGGTCCAACCTTAAACAGGACAAACAAACAAGAGCGGCTGCATGCAAGCCGACAAGTCAGCTGCATGCATGGTGCTGAATTCTACAGGGTTGCGCGGTTTGCTCTGCAGAAACATAAGCCCGGCCACAAACTCTGTAGACGCAAAGATGGCAACTCACTCGCGTAGCTCGAAGAAGCTGAATTCGAAGTTCTGCTTGAGCTGGTCATGGTTTTGGCAGCTTGTTCTCACGACTCGGTCGCGACAGCACCCCTTCCGCTTCTGAAGCTGCAAATTCCCAAAGAATGCAGTTGGGCAACAAAGCAACCTCCCTTGAACTCAAGGACCTTGACAACCCTTTCCAAACTACTCAGACCAAGGGCCCAGCGAATCTGCATGCTCGCTAGCTCTTGCTGCACGTCGTCACCTGAAGGCATCATTCTGCCCAAATGAGTTTGATCCCCAGGCAACATCGCCAGGCTCAATTGCGTGGGATGCACCCGTTCTGAAAACATCCGTCGCCATCGCCGCACACACCACGCGCAGCAGATGCCTACCTATCGTTTCACTTGGGCCGCTGCAGTTTTGTCTGCTGAGGCAGTAGATGATGCCAGACTGGCCTTGAAGCAACAGCTCCCCCGCAAACTCATGACCCATCGCATGTCAATCGAGTACATCTACGAATCTTGTTACATGCCCACGTATCATTGGTGCAGATGGACAGCCTCGTGACACATTCTTGCGCGCCTGAAAACTTGGCACGGATCAAGTCGCCAATCTCCTTGGTCACCGACTTCTTGCTCTTTGGCTGTACCTGACAGATCTGTTTTGGGTTCTGCGCGAGTCACCAAGTTCATCCATGTGCTCGTGCATCTCCCAAGCCTTGAATTCAAGGTTGGGCCGATCCACGGGCGACACGAAGACAGCGGGGTCCCTGCAGCATGATTGGATGTGAATGTGTTTCTGATTCAAGCAAAGTGCAGAAGCAGGCACAAGCCACCGTGTTTTGTCAAGCGACCCGCAGCTTATTCATGGTTGCAAGATGCCACTTTTGGAGCCCTTGTTTCCTCCGGCCCTGCCAATCAAAGGGAGGGAGCGCTGCGCTTCAAGGTGGCTCTCAGGAAAGCCAAAGGTGTCTCCCTGAACCAGATCCCTGTGAGACAGAGCCAGAAATGTGCTCTTAATGGGTCTTGAGTCATCCCGGGCAAGGCAGGATGGCCACTCCCCCTATGGGAAGCCTAGCAATGCGTTGATGTGCAAGGGCGTATCAAACATCGGGACACAGGTGCCTGTATAGAAAAATAAACCAAGTATATGGACAAAATCCGAAAAAGCCTTCTGGACATTTGCGCATAGTCGCATAGTCACTCACATCTCTGCCGGGCAGCTGCATGTTGAGCTGCGTCAGCACACCGGAGATGATCTCAGGGCTATGTCCCAAGGGAACCCCAATGCCAAACCCGACGAAAGAAAAATGAAACAGGCTTTTTGTGAGCCAGAATTGACTGCCACACTCTGCTCAGGGCGCATGTGATTCTCTGGCCAAGAAACAAGATTGCCAGTGTAGGGCGCCCACCCGTGCTGCAGGCCACACACTTTTTTATTGGCTTTCGGTTGCTGAGGCCAACCCCAAGTTGCCACCCTTCCCCCCTGTGCATGCCTCCTCTGTGGCAGTGGCACTGCAGGCCAAGATCGGCCTCAGTGCCCGAACGCCGGAATGAATCGATCCACCCCTTCATCGAGAACACGGCAATGACCGCTACCTTCTGCTTCTTGTTACTTCCGTAAGAAACGCTCCAACCGGGACATCCCCCAGGCAACATCCCCTTCGTTGCTGGGCCATGATTTGGTGAAGCACATAGACTGAACTCGTTGGATGTTGTCACAAACCGCAGAGCTCTCTGCGCCATGAGAAGTTTTGGCTTGGGGACCTGCAAAAACCTTGAACTGTTCTCATGTTAATTCAACCGCATGACAGGAACATGACCTGCTTACTTCGTCCGCTCCCCGCCGGCAGCGACTGGAATAGGTGGCAGTCTGCTCATTCATGTGTTTTGCTGTCGTTGTTGGCCATGTTTAAACACTGGTTTGTCAGCGACTTGTTTGGCTTCCCAGAAGCAACAGCACCTCCAGAGTCAACTAAGCGATCGTGGGATGCGTGTCCTGAGCCGAGTGGGGCGCAAAATTAGGGGCCCGGCACTTCCGGGAAGGACGCTTTGAGATTCTTCAGCTGAAGGTAGCTTTCCTTGGTGCCATGCATCCTCACCATGGAGAGAGGCAGATCTGGATGTAAGTTGCCCCTTTGGAGAAAGAAAATCCCCTTTTCCTTGACGAACAGTCAACCAGCAGAACCTGAAGCAGTGCGATTGCCTCTGAGATTCTACAGACCTTTCTCTATTTGACAGGGTTGCCAAGATCGTCAGGGGGCTCCAGCTGGACAATGCTGGAGGTGTTTCTTGAGCATCTGCTCATGAGCCCAAGCGGCTCGGAACTCGTTGCCCCAGATGCTCAGGCAGTGCCTCAAGTCGAAGGCTGCACCACTTGGTGTGACTCAAACTCAGGCCAGTCGAAAACGACGATTTTAGGAAGCCAGTTTGGAGGTTCACCACCCCATGTTTCACATTTGGTTCCATCAATATGCCTTGAAACATCTCATGGATTCTCGCGTGAAAAGACTAAGGAAGATCTCTGCGGCAGGTGGCGAACCATTGCCAACGGGTGCCCTTCTCAGCGCCAGACGCCTCATCGATCACAAACCTCCGCAAGCGCTTTGATGTGTAGAGGCCTCGCCAAGAGCACGCTGCGCGCCCAACCCGCCCAACCGCTTGCCCAAGTCTCGTTTCCCTGGACCCCGGAGGCGCCCCGGCTTCTCAGTGCCTTTTGAAAGATCGAGCTCTGGTGGATCATCTCTGGAGTCACCTCGCAACTCCCTTCTCCCCTCACCAAGTTGACGGGGACACCGTTGAAGAATCTGAGCCGATTGCGGAAACCGATCGCAAAGCATTTGCTTGAGACCTGCTAGGCACCCAACGTAGACGATCTGCAGCTCGTCGGCCAGCATTCTCCTCGTGACCTGCCCGGCATCAAGCCAACCATTGAGATATGGAGTTTTGAGGCACATGTCTGGCTTCCTCCTTCCCCCCGGTTTCGAGGCATGCCCCAATAATTGAATCGAAACCTCAACTCATCGCAACAAATGGCGCGCCATGCGGACGTCTTCTCCAGACTCGTCCGAGCGGGATCTGATAGCAGAGACCTCGCGGCAACCGCCAGTGAGAGGAGTCAACTGTTGTCATGCACCCTAATCCTGTCACCAGTGCCGCCCGCGGCCCTGCAGATTCCAAGCCCACCAAACAATGTGTCGCAATTGACACATGGTGCGTCTCAAAGTGGAAACCAGAAAATTGTTGGTGTCTTCTCTGAGAAACCCCCTTTGTTAGTTGGTTTGCAAGGCAAGCCAAAGGGAAACCAACCACATTAGGCGTCCTCGTAGTGAGACTGAGCCACATGTGCAGCGACAATGGGCTCTCGCTCACTCGCTCGCTCGCTCGCTCATGGCCAGGGGGCTTCAACGCCGATCTCCTTCCTGAGCAGGTGGTCGCGTGCAGGGGGAATCGCCAGCTGCATGCTTGTACCATGCGTCATTCAGCGGGCAAAAGCTACACAAGGCCTTGAAAACCTGATCAAAAGAGTGGAGCATGCGAACACACGGAGGCTCTCTACTGCAATAGCTGACCAAAGCTTCACCGTGCCTAAGCATACCAACGGAAATCTTGGGAAGCCACCGAAAATCACCCAGTCACGTGGCAGTTGAGCGGGTGGGTGTCCTTCTGTGCTCCCTAAGAGGGCCTTCTGAACTTCACAAGTGGGCCAAAGGCACAGCTCCTGCACCTGATCCTGGATCAGCGACACCAGGGGGCTGATGACCACCACCAGCGGCTGCACCACGGCCGGCACTTGGTACACCAAACTCTTGCCTCCTACGCGACAGGCCAACAAAAGGGCAGAAAACCGGTAGGAACGGAGGTCAAGGCAGCCACACATCTGTTTATGGTTGAGAATGTCCCCTCGCCGCTTGGCCGGCCAACAACCCGCGATTGCGGCTCCTGTTGTTTTGCCGAAGCCAGCTAGAAACCGGCTCCCCGATTCATAAAATCCCCAAAAACCATGCGAATCCGGAGCCATGTGTACCTTTGGCTGTGAGGGTTCCGCTGATGGGGCCTTTTTTGCACAGCACATTCAGGCCACGCCTAGATCCGATCACCCTTTCAGCTTCCAAAGCTTCGACAAGCAAGCTGAGCGGATGTCCTCCAGTGGGCATGCGCACGAAGACGTCCTTTCCGGCCAGACAGGCGTTGATGGCCTCCCGCTGTTGCGGGCGGAAGCCAGGCACTCCGAAGCGCTGCAGGGCTGCGGCCACAGGGCCATCCCACTCAAAGCCCTGTGCCCAGTTGCTGCTGGGCGCTCGTTGCTCTGGCGCAACGGGAGGCGGCGCCTGCCATGCCCCAGGGCCAACTTCGGAGTTCTGCAAGGGCATCGGCATTGGCGGTTCTGTCTGTGGTCCCATCGGCGGCATCTGCTGCCCCTGCGGCAGCTGTTGCCCCTGCTGCATCTGCTGCCCCTGTGGCATTTGCTGCCCCTGCGCCATCTGTTGCGCCGGCATCTGTTGCTGCGCTGGTGGCATCTGCCGTTGCATCTGCCTCGGCGCTCCATCTGCGCCCCACACCGCACCCGAGAAGGCGCCCTCGGCGCTCGGCCGCTGCCGCTCTCGCTCTCGCGCCGCACGCGCTGGCACCTCCACATCCCCACCGTGCAGGCGCCCCTCGGCAGCGCGGCGCCAAAGTGGAACCCAGTCCTTCTCAATGCCTCAGTGTCAGCTGGCAGTTCTCGCCGAAGCAGCAAAGAATTTCAAGAAGAGACCCTGATTCGCTGGAAACACCTTTCAACCAAGCTGCTCAAATGGCTAACCTCTTCTGCGCTGATCTTCGCAGGCTGGTTCAGGGCCTCCACGCTGAGACGACTGCCAAAGGCATCAGCCTGAGAGCAAAGAAGCCGTCTGCGCATTTAAATACGTCGTTCGGTGTGAGCCAGCCAGAGACTTGAGTGTTTTGCTTGTCTCCTGCATGAGCCTTGGCTATTGATGACCTAAGAGAAGTAATCGTGCTCTCCAGCTGCTGTGCCCCTCCCATGATGAAGCAACTGTCCAAACAGCCTGAATGTTACAACTGACAACGAACTCAGAGCAAAAGCGAACCGCAACTGAGCTGGACTATCCATCAAGTTGGGGCTTCTTCCTATGCTTAAGACACCGAGAAGTGGAATACTTGTATAAGGCAACACAGAAACAGAGATACACAGAGACACAGAGACAGAGCGACACACACTCGCAACAACCAACACAGAGACAGACACAGAGACAGACATAGAGACGAGCACAGAGACAGACACGGAGACAGACACAAAGACAGACACAGAGATAGACACAGAGACAGACGCAGAGGCAGACACGAAGACAGACACAGAGACAAACACACCGACAAAAACAGAGACAAGCAGACAGACAAAGAGATAGACACAGACACAGAGATAGAGAGACAGACAGAGAGACAGAGAGACAGACACAGAGACAAACAGAGAGACAGAGACAGACAGAGAGAGAGAGAGGGAGGCCCAGCTGCAAAACCTCTATGCAGTGAGCATCAAGCAGTGTGCCAAGCAGCAGCTTGCTAAGCCACCGGACCCGAATCAACAACCCTTACCACTCCAGTCACCTGTCAACAAGCCCCAGGCAGCACCAGGACTATGCCAGCACCAGGACTGTGCCCATCCGAATACAGATCAATCACAAGAGCGCAATCCTTGCCACCCATCAACCCCCCGCCAGTGCCAGGAGATCGAAAAATGCGACTCCCGTCCGTTCAGAGCGCCAGCTTTCGGCTTGCCAGGTTGCCCTGATTTGGGGCCAGTCGACTGCAGCCAGGTGGCCCAGCTCTGGCAGCTCCCCAGCCAACGGAGCTGCTCTTGCAGGTTGTTGCGCATTGGTCGTGTGCCGCCTCAAATCCTAAGAACAAGAACAAAAGTCCGTGGTCCATAGATCCCAATCCCGTTCGACCAAGGAAGGAAAACCGAATGCAAAGATTGGCCGGTGGTCCGAAAAGGGGCTCGATGTACAGTTTCTGAATAGCCATCCGGAAGAATTGCAGGATGCAGCGTTAGACTCCCAAGGTTTGAGGCTTGGCAAATCAAATTTGCGATTTTGTGTTCCCGCGATTGATCAAGGCAAGGGCACCATGTCCAGCCGTCATGCCCGCAGACCATGGCCGGAAAGGCCTTTCGCAGGTGCTTTGCAAGCTCATGTGCCACGATGCCTGTGCAGTATGAGAGTTTCGGCTTCCTTCAGCATCGAGGTGCCCCAAACTATGCCATGCCGCATATGCTTGACATTGAGCAGCTCACATCGTTCCCAGCGGAGCTCTAAGCAAGGCGGCCAGCAAAGAATGTGGGCATGTATCAAAACCACCAGCCGAGGCAAAACAAGGCCTCACGCCAGCCAAATTATGCCTGTTTGAGGTCGCATGCATGTGCTACTTCACAAACTGTGCAACGGCTCGCTGTGTCCCTCTTGCCAATGACGCGCAATCTCGCTGCCGCTTTCAGCCTTTTCGGCCTCTATGCGCCTCGATCTTTCACGGCATTGAGGCTGTCTACGGATGTTTCGCCTGATTCGTCGCATTGCGTTTCTTCAGATGCATCCAAATCAGCTGCTTCGCCTCCTGCATCCGCAAGGAAAGTTTGCATGGTCGCCAACATGCATTCCAGAATTCTGCTGCTCATCTTGTCACGGGATGAACCCTCAAGCCCAATGCAAGTTGGAAAAGACTGGCTCCACCCTCCTGGTTCACTTCCAGTCTCTGGAAGCTTCAGCTCGCTCCTCTTCGCCTGCGCGACGCGTCCCATCGCCGCAGCAATCGTGCCAAAATGAGCCTTTTGGTTTTTTCCCGTCTATTACATATGAATAGGATCGCCAAAGGTACAAACATCCAAACACAAGGACGACCTTCTGCAAATCAGGAAATTCGACTTGGACCAACTTCGCTCTTTGTCCAATCTTGGAGAGTCGAGTTCAAACTCCACCTGCTCCTTCACCCCAGACCCCATATCCCCCTATTGGTTTGTCTCAATTGCCAAGCATAAAGACGAAAAATCCCTTGTGTTTCCAGTTGTCCGGAAAATACAATGAACAAAAAACTGATGAGGAAAAACAAAAAACAAAAACACGGAGAACTTGATGTCAACAACAAGTATTGCCGGACATCGGCACGGCCGATGGCCCGCCTTCACGGCCTCCTCCAGAAGCGCCAGCCGTTGCCGGGCCTGGCCGAACGCCCATCTTGCCACGGGGGGTTCTGGCAAAATGGAGTCCGTTTTAGTTGGCGTTTATGAGAAACTACCAGGAAACCAGCCGTTTGAGAAAACCGCTATTTTGATACGAACCCATATGGTCATAGAGGTTTACAATAGGTCTTGCTATCATCCCATAAGCGTAACTACACCGCGTGGTAGAGCATCTGCATACTAAAATGGCCAATAGCAGTCGGTTTTGGACGCTGCCGAATTGAAAACGGGATGCGCACACGAGGATGGAAGAGATGCATCCTGGGATGATGGTCTGGTTCCACACGTGGATGGGGTGTTTCCCTGTTTGTGTCCCCACAGAACCCTGATAGAAACATGAAGGGGCGATCACCGTTGAAATCAGCAAGCCGGAAAATTGGCTTTGGGTGAATGAGCACTTTCTTAGGTCTCGAGGTCCTCAACCAGAACCCACCGCACTATTCAGTTGGAAAGACAAGTCGGGCTTTGGAAGGACAACGCTGACCAAAACATGCGCGCCGGAGTGATGAAGGAGGAAACCCAGCAGAAAAGAAGCTTCGTTCGTATGCTGCCCCTGTCCAACTTAACCCCAGCCCCCGCAGGTCTTGAGTCCCGGGCTTCATGATCCTGCGGCAAGCTGCATTTCGCGAATTGGGGGATCATTTCACCGGTTCCGCTTGCAGTGATCCGTTTTGACTGTTCCTTGCTTGCCTTGATCAATCCATTCCCTCAAAGACAAGTCTTCTGAATGAGACACAAAACACATCGTTCAATTTCCGTGAAAGTTGCCATCCCACTCGAGAGTGTGAGTTCTTCGTTGTTGGAACAGGATTGTTCTGGACAGGCCCTCTGACCTCCACATACCTGGGCGTCGGGGCTGTGGGCCTCACAATGCGGAACACCTCCGAACATGGCATCAACCCAGCAAGTTCACTTTTCCGAATGGGGCTATCCCGAAATTAGAAAGGACCGCCCTGAAAGGATGCTCTTGATAGAGCTGGAAGGACACCATAATTGTTCCCTTATTTTTGACAAACACAGCCAATTGGATGATTAAAATTGCTCCACGTCTCCCAGCCTCTTTCAAAGACTGCTCCAGGCCCCGAGCCTCCTGGCGCCGAAGTGCCACCCTCCCCACCCACGGGTCTGTCTCAGTCCAGCAACCCTCCCCGCCGGATTTGGTTTCTTCGGCTTGACTCAAGGGCCTTGGTGCGCCTCTGCGCATTCCGGCAATGCACATTTGTGTTTTGGCACAGCAACCCCAAACAGGCTCATAGCTTGACCTTTAATTAGCTCCCAAACAATTCCTTCTGGAGCGCTTGGACTCTGGCCTCTTGCAATCAGAAGCCCAGGCACAGAGAAAAGGTGACATAATCGATGTGGCCATCTGTTAGGATCCATAGGTAACCATGAACTGAAATCCGCCGACCCTTTCTCTAAAAAGGGGAGGCGCACGGGAAGGGTGGTTGGCGCATAAGTATAACCAAAGTTTCATCCTCATCAGCATCAGCTGCAGCAACGATAAATGTTATCGTCACAGTCATCGTGATCATCATCATCCTTATCATCATCTCTTTTTTCTCTTATCCTTATCCTCATTATCATCATGGTTGTCGTCATCTCTTATCGGTGATGCAGAGGATGCTGCGACGATAGTTATCATCACAGCCGTTAGTGATGCTAAGGATGCTACGATTAGAGTTATCATCCTTGTCATCATCTTTCTCATCATCTGATCATCACCTAGCATCATCTGATATCATATTACATATTATATGTAGAAATCAAAAGGGACGTCAGACATCCTTGGCAATGCACAAGATGCGATGATGATAGTTATCAAGGAACAAGTAGCGATGCAGAGGATGTTGTGATCATAGTTGTCATGACGCGGATGATAACGATCAGCACGCCCCCATTATCATCATGGACGTCGTCATCTTTTATCAGGCAGCATTGGTGATGCAGAGGATGCTGCGATGATCGTTATCATCACAGCCGTTGGTGATGGATGCTAAGGATGCTACGATGATAGTTATCATCCATCCTCGTCATCATCTTTATCATCATCTGATCATCACCGGGCATCATCCAATATCTTATTATATATAGAAATCAAAAGGGACGTTAGACATCCTTGGGAATGCAAAGGATGCGATGATGATAGTTATCAAGGAACAAGTAGTGATGCAGAGGATGTTGTGATGATAGTTGTCATGATGCGGATGATAATGATCATCAGGCCCGCGCCATTATCATCACGGTCGTCGTCATCTCTTATCAGGCAGCATTGGGTGATGCAGAGGATGCTGCGATGCTCGTTATCATCACAGCCGTTGGTGATGCTAAGGATGCTACGATGATAGTTATCATCCTCGTCGTCATCTTTCTCATCATCTGATCATCACCTAGCATCATCTCGTGTCTTATCATATCTTACTATATATAGAAATCAAAAGGGACGTTAGACATCCTTGGCAATGCAAAGGATGCGATGATGATGGTTATCAAGGAACAAGTAGTGATGCAGAGGATGTTGTGGTGATAAGTTGTCATGATGCGGATGACAACGATCATCAGGCCCGTGCCCTTATCATCATGGTCGTCGTCATCTCTTATCAGGCAGCATTGGTGATGCAGAGGATGCTGCGATGCTCGTTATCATCACAGCCGTTGGTGATGCTAAGGATGCTACGATGATAGTTATCATCCTCGTCGTTATCTTTCTCATCATCTGATCATCACCTAGCATCATCTGATATCATATTGCATATTATGTGTAGAAATCAAAAGGGACGTTAGGCAATGCAAAGCATGCGATGATGATGGTTATCAAGGAACAAGTCGTGATGCAGAGGATGTTGTGATGATAGTTGTCATGATGCGGATGATAACGATCATCAGGCCCGTGCCATTATCATCATGGTCGTCGTCATCTCTTTTCAGGCAGCATTGGTGACTCAGAGGATGCTGCGACGATCGTTATCATCACAGCCGTTGGTGCTGCTAAGGATGCTACGATGATAGTTACCATCCTCGTCGCGATCTTTCTCATCATCTGATCATCACCTAGCATCATCTCATGTCTTATCATATCTTATTATATATAGAAAACAAAAGGGACGTTAGACATCCTTGGCAATGCCAAAGTTGCGATGATGATAGTTATCAAGGAACAAGTAGTGATGCAGAGGATGTTGTGCTGATACTTGTCATGCCGCGGGTGATAACGATCAGCACGCCCGCATTATCATCATGGTCGTCGTCATCTCTTTTCACGCAGCATTGGTGATGCAGAGGGTGCTGCGATGATAGTTATCATCGCAGCCGTTACTGATGCTAAGGATGCTACGATGATAGTGTCATCCTTGTCATCATCTTTATCATCATCTGATCATCACCTGGCATCATCTAATATCTTACTATATATAGAAATCAAAAGGGACGTTAGACATCCTTGGCAATGCAAAGGATGCGATGATGATGGTTATCAAGGAACAAGTAATGATGCAGAGGATGTTGCGATGATAGTTGTCTTAATGCGGATGACAACGATCATCAGGCCCGTGCCATTATCATCATGGTCGTCGTCATCTCTTATCAGGCAGCATTGGTGATGCAGAGGACGCTGCGACGATCGTTATCATCACAGCCGTTGGTGATGCTAAGGATGCTACGATGATAGGTTGTCATCCTCGTCGTCATCTTTCTCATCATCTGATCATCACCTAGCATCATCATCTCATGTCTTACCATATCTTACTATATATAGAAATCAAAAGGGACGTTAGACATCCTTGGTAATGCAAAAGATGCGATGATGATTGTTATCAAGGAACAAGTAGTGATGCAGAGGATGTTGTGATGATACTTGTCATGACGCGGATGATAACGATCAGCACGCCCCCATTATCATCATGGTCGTCGTCATCTCTTTTCGCGCAGCATTGGTGATGCAGAGGGTGCTGCGATGCTCGTTATCATCACAGCCGTTAGCGATGCTAAGGATGCTACGATGATAGTTATCCTCCTCGTCGTCATCTTTATCATCATCTGATCATCACCTGGCATCATCTCATGTCCTATCATATCTTACTGTATATAGAAATCAAAAGGGACGTTAAACATCCTTGGTAATGCAAAGCATGCGATGATGATAGTTATCAAGGAACAAGTAGTGATGCAGAGGATGTTGTGATGATACTTGTCATGATGCGGATGATAACGATCATCAGGCCCGTGCCAGTATCATCATGGTCGTCGATGCTGCGATGATCGTTATCATCACAGCCGTTGGTGATGCTAAGGATGCTACGATGATAGTTGTCATCCTTGTCATCATCTTTCTCATCATCTGATCATCACCTAGCATCATCTCATGTCTTATCATATCTTACAATATGTAGAAATCAAAAGGGACGTTAGACATCCTTGGCAATGCAAAAGATGCGATGATGATAGTTATCAAGGAACAAGTAGTGATGCAGAGGGTGTTGTAATGATACTTGTCAGGACGCGGATGATAACGATCAGCACGGCACCATTATCATCATGGTCGTCGTCATCTCTTTTCACGCAGCATTGGTGATGCAGAAGATGCTGATAATGATAGTTATGACAGCCGTTACTGATGCTAAGGATGCTACGATGATAGTTATTATCCTCGTCATCATCTTCATCATCATCTGATCATCACCTGGCATCATCTAATATCCTATCATATCTTATTATATATAGAAAACAAAAGGGACGTTAGACATCCTTGGCAATGCAAAGGATGCGATGATGATGGATATCAAGGAACAAGTAGTGATGCAGAGGATGTTGCGATGATAGTTGTCATGATGCGGATGACAACGATCATCACGCCCCCATTATCATCATGGTCGTCGTCGTCTCTTATCAGGCAGCATTGGTGATGCAGAGGACGCTGCGATGATCGTTATCATACAGCCGTTAGTGATGCTAAGGATGCTACGATGATAGTTATCATCCTTGTCATCATCTCTATCATCCTCTGATCATCATCTAATAGCTTATCATGTCTTACATATCCTACTGTATATAGAAATCAAAAGGGACGTTAGACATCCTTGGCAATGCAAAGGATGCGATGATGATGGTTATCAAGGAACAAGTAGTGATGCAGAGGATGCTGTGATGATAGTTGTCATGACGCGGGTGATAACGATCATCACGCCTCATTCTCATCATGGTCGTCGTCATCTCTTATCAGGCAGCATTGGTGATGCAGAGGAAGCGGCGACGATCGTTATCATCACAGCCGTTAGTGATGCTAAGGATGCTACGATGATAGTTATCATCCTTGTCATTTATCATCATCTGATCATCACCTAGCATCATCTCATATCTTACTATATATAGAAATCAAAAGGGACGTTAGACATCCTTGGTAATGCAAAAGCTGCGATGATGATAGTTATCAAGGAACAAGTAATAATGCAGAGAATATTGTGATGATACTTGTCACGACGCGGATGATAACGATCAGCACGGCACCATTATCATCATGGTCGTCGTAATCTCTTTTCGCGCAGCATTGGTGATGCAGAGGGTGCTGCGATGATAGTTATCATCACAGCCGTTAGCGATGCTAAGGATGCTACGATGATAGTTATCATCCTCGTCATCATCTTTATCATCATCTGATCATCACCTGGCATCATCTCATGTCCTATCATATCTTACTGTATATAGAAATCAAAAGGGACGTTAGACATCCTTGACAATGCAAAGGATGCGATGATGATAGTTATCAAGGAACAAGTAGTGATGCAGAGGATGTTGTGATGATAGTTGTCATGATGCGGCTGATAACGATCATCAGGCCCGTGCCATTATCATCATGGTCGTCGATGCTGCGATGATCGTTATCCTCACAGCCATTGGTGATGCTAAGGATGCTACGATGATAGTTGTCATCCTCGTCGTTATCTTTCTCATCATCTGATCATCACCTAGCATCATCTCATGTCTTATCATATCTTGCAATATATAGAAATCAAAAGGGACGTTAGACATCCTTGGCAATGCAAAAGATGCGATGATGATAGTTATCAAGGAACAAGTAGTGATGCAGAGGGTGTTGTAATGATACTTGTCAGGACGCGGATGATAACGATCAGCACGGCACCATTATCATCATGGTCGTCGTCATCTCTTTTCACGCAGCATTGGTGATGCAGAGGATGCTGCGATGATAGTTATCACAGCCGTTACTGATGCTAAGGATGCTACGATGATAGTTATTATCCTCGTGACGCCTCATTCTCATCATGGTCGTCGTCATCTCTTATCAGGCAGCATTGGTGATGCAGAGGAAGCGGCGACGATCGTTATCATCACAGCCGTTAGTGATGCTAAGGATGCTACGATGATAGTTATCATCCTTGTCATTTATCATCATCTGATCATCACCTAGCATCATCTCATATCTTACTATATATAGAAATCAACAGGGACGTTAGACATCCTTGGCAATGCAAAGGATGCGCTGATGATAGTTATCAAGGAACAAGTAGTGATGCAGAGGATGCTGTGATGATAGTTGTCATGACGCGGATGATAACGATCATCACGCCCCCATTATCATCATGGTCGTCGTCATCTCTTATCAGGCAGCATTGGTGATGCAGAGGATGCTGCGATGATCGTTATCATGACAGCCGTTGGTGATGCTAAGGATGCTACGATGATAGTCATCATCTTTCGCTAGTGTTTGGAGGACTGTGATGATAACTATCATCGTAGCATCCTCTGCATTGCCAATGGTGTCTAACGTTACTTTTAAAATGCATATAAGAACAAGAAAGAGATGATAATGATCATCATGATGATGACGTGTCTATTGGTAATGCACAGCATGCTGCGGCTGATGCTCCCTAGCCTATGCTTGCTTGCGTAGTGACGCCAGGCGCGACTGCGGCTCATGGGGGAGTGGAGAGCGGGGCTGAGAGCTGCTTTGTCTTGACAAGATAGAAGGGCATCGTGTGGCAAGAAAACGTGTCTGGCATCACCAGCATCGCCCGGGCGTGTCTATTAGTAATGCAGAGGACGCTGCGGCTCCTGGGGGGGTGGAGAGCGGGGGCTGAGAGCTGCTTTTTCTTGACGAGATAGAAGGGCATCGTGTGGCAAGAAAACGTGTCCAGCATCGCCCAGCATCGCCCAGAAGGTGCCGCGCGGCGGCGCAAGCTGCCACAAATCCCCCGACAGAATCACGTTCAACCCCCCGAAGGGGCGTGCTGTCGTGCACCCCTCGGACTAGCTCCCGGCAGCGGAGCTCTTATCACCCCCAATCTAGCGTTCAGGCGCCAAAAGCGAAGTAGACCTGGAGACCAGGGTCTGCTTGCTTGACCTGCTTTCGAGCAGTCTTTCAAGGGTTACAACCATAGCTCAGCGAAAATGGATCTAACAAAACTCAAACGGTCTAAGAATGGCCCATGCGTAAAAGAGCCGCGCTCACAAACCCAGATTCCCTGCACAAGAAGTAGCCGGCTGGCTGACACTCATTCCACAACTCCCCTGAAAGGTTGCAACTGACTGGTGTTGAAGACTCCAAAAAGAGAAACCGAGGAAGCCCTGTGAGATCCCGAAGGGGGAGGGGGCGGGGTCTGATCATCACTCAAGTACGCAGAGTTGTGGCTTGGCTACTGAGGTTCAAATTTACAGTGAAACCCAAAAAAAAGAATCAAAAAATGCACTGTTTCTTGTGCTCGAATACCACAAGTAAATCCAGGGGTCGGCGGAACTGGGCGGCAGCCCGTAAATCCGGCCACCGGACGTGATCGGGCCGCAGGCCAAAGCCCGCTAGGGCTTACCTTCAGGTATAAGGCCGCGCGCCCCATGCCGCCGACCATGCACAGAACATGCGCCGACCATGTGCCGACCATGCGCCGACCATGCTCCGACCATGCGCATACGTTTTGTACTGGGCCCACCCTTATAAGGGGCGAAGGATTCGCGGATTGGCTTAGGCGATTTCCGAGGAATTTTGTAGCATCTCCCCGCAGCGTCCAAAAACGAGTCCAAAAACGAGTATTTTTAGGGGGTGCCTAAAACTGGACAACACCCCCAGCATTGCAAGCATCATCCCGGATGATGCGGATGATGTTGTGCATGCTGGCGATGCGAAACAATGGGCTAAAGGGGAAATGCAAGGAAACAGGAGTGACTGGAAGTGAACGAAATGAAAGTCAAAGGAACTGCACGAAAATGAAGAGGGCAATGGAGAGAAACCGAGATGCAGGAAAATGCATGGGCAGAACGTGAAAAGAACCGGACAGCGGGAACGAAAAGGGAAAGGAATGCGAATAAAGGAGTCTTCAAGGAAACGGCAGTGAAGTGGAAGGAAGTGAAGGGACATGCCAGGAAACTGTCAGGGAAGACATGCAAAGAAAGTGAAGTTCAAATTATTCCGAGGACTAACAGGACTTAGAGGGAAAGGAAACGAAAGAACTGCCCGGTGGCCGGCTGTGTCGCGTCAGCGTGTAAATCCGGCCACCGGATGTGATCGGGCCGCAGGCCAAGCCCGCAGGGCTTACCTTCAGGTGTAAGGCCGTGCGCCCCATGCCGCCGACCATGCGCGGACCATGCGCGGACCATGAGCATACGTTTTGTGCTGGGCCCGCCCTTATAAGGGGCGAAGGATTGGTTTAGGCGATTTTTGTAGCATCTCCCCACAGCGCCCAAAAACGAGTCCAAAAACGAGCATTTTTAGGTGGTGCCTAATACTGGACAACACCCCCAGCATTGCCAGCATCATACCGGATGATGCGGAAGATGTTATGCATGCTGGCGATGCGAAACAAGGGGTTGAAAATTGCAGAGAGCGAAGGGGAAATGGAAAACTGATGCTTTTCGGGGCGCCCGGCTGTCAGGCGTAAGCCCTTAAATACAGCACATGCTCCCCATAATTCTGTGCAAGGCAACAAGCGCTTCCGGTTGCCGTGATCCAACATGAAGTGACACTGTTGCATGCGTCTAACTGTGTGCGGCCATGACTCCTGCAACTGTTCACCATTGGTCCTCTGGGTGTCCCCTCACAAAAGAGGACCCCAAGCAATGGTTGGCGTCCTTTCAACTTTCAACAAGAATCCAACCAAATCTTCTATCTCAGGAAGCACCACAACTGACCTTTGCCCTGGCCTTGACCTTGGCAAAGCTCATGCGAAGATCTTCCGCCTGCGGACGTTTGCCATGACGCAGAAGCGGGTGTTTCCTCGAGTAGAAACAACTGCAAATGATAAGTTGTCTTGAGGTTCACTTCAAATCTCTATCCAATGGGGGTGGCTAATTTAGGGGAAACTCTCAGGTGTCAGGCACACTTTTCCCGCAAGAAACATTGGGCGTGTCCGAATTGATTCTGCACCTTGATGGCTCAAGGCAAATAGAAGCAACCCAGCGTTTCCGTGGGTCGTCTAGGGAAAATGTATGTAAACCTCCCCCGTCCTATGTTTCACCGAACCTTTTTCTTGACTGCAAAGACGCGGAGCCAGAAACCCGTCGCCTGCTTCTCCAGGCGGTCAGCGAAGGCTTGACACTGCGCCATGCGCGCCTCCGCCTGGATCTGAACGAACGTCATCAGCAAAGCATCGCTTAGACATTGGAAGATTCTGTCTCAAGTTGTTCAGAGAAAGCCATGGGAAGCAAGCGGGAAATCATGGTTTCTGTGGTGCTCGTTCGCCTCCGCAATGACTAGTTCTTCCTTGAAGGGGACGGTACCCTTGGCCAACTCAGCTGAATTCCAGTTTCGCGTGCTTGGTGGCTTGGTCTCTCAACACTGGGCCACAGCACAAGCTTCCACTTTGGCGGCTCAAGCGCATATTCTGGGATGCTGGCATTGGAAGACAATCGCTGGGTTTTCTCGGCCGATGACCTCAACCAAGCGCAAGGTGAATTCCACTCGACATCTGCCACCAGCCGCGAGCATGCCTGAGCCGCACACAGCGCCTGGATGTGGTCATCGTAGCGAATGCGCTCCTTGAGGCAAAAGGCAAGGCATGCAAGCGCAAAGCACTGGCAAGAAAGGATCCGCATGCCAAAGCGTCTTGCTATGCAGCACTCTGCAAGCAGCTCTCAAGCGGCAAATACCGAAAAACATGATCATTGTGCGACAGTCCTAGCGTGTAACAAGTAGAAATGAAAAAAATGAGTGATTCTGCATGCAGCTGCGGCCGTGTGCCATGGCCACTTGACCCAAAAGATGCCGTCCAGAGGAAATGCGGGTAACCCCTGAACAATGGCCACTAAGCATGAAAGCGCTTGCTGACAGTCCCACCTGGTGCCAAAGACAAAACAAGAAAAGCAAACAAAACAAGCGCAAGAACAGGCGATTCGAATTGGGATGCATCCAAACAAAAAAGTTCCCTGACAATGTGAATCAAAAGGAAATCACGTCCCACTGACAAAGCCTTCCGCAAGACGCAACCAAAACACACAAAAGGCAACAACACATCAAAACACGAAGCAAACCAGCGGCAACAAAAAAGAGAGAAACAGTCAGTCCAAAACAGGACAAACCCCAAAAACCTGCTCCGGTTCCTAAAACAAACAAACAAACAAACGGGGGTCTTCAACCGCTCCTCCTCGAAGCGCTGCCTTACGCCACCCTGACGCGCGATCTGCGTCTGCAGGTCCTCGCGTCGCTTGGGGCCCCCCCAAAAAAACCGGCCTTCTTAGGGGGCAAACTTTGAGTCGCAAGCAAAACCGGCATTGAAGTGGTTGATGGGATTGTCCCTTACTAACCTTCATTTATGTGGGCTTTGATTCTGGTCGTCTTTGGGGTTGTAAGCACTGACCAAAGAGGAATTGATCCATTTCCGTATGAGTGTTTACTAGGAATTGGACTTCAAATGATTTGACAACAGGTTCCTTTTGACACCAGCTGTAAAAAAGGCGGCCTGGTTCCTTGAACCCGTCTGGTACTGACGCACCAAACAGAACATGATGGATGACGGAAACCTAGATTAATGGCCAGTAAGTTGTTTCTCCAGAGAGGATGTTCGTCAATGGATCTTGATGCAGGTTGATCCAAGAATTGGGGGCACTAGCAATGGAAGTGCTTCCTGTGGATAGACTTGCTATCCGTGTGGTGTGACACGAGGGTATCGATTCTTGAGGGGCAAACTTGTCTTAAGTGTCTAAGCACCACCTACCAAAAGCCCCTGACTTGTTGACCCGTGAGGGAACCATGTCGGCTTGCAAACTGTCATCTCCGGCAACTTTCGAACAACTCAACAGGCCAAACAAGATGCACCTGGAAAACTAGAATTGTTCAGTTTTGGGCAACTGCCAACCAGAACAAGAAATGCAAAAAAATGCACCTCACATCCTCCAGCTGGTCCCAACAGGGTATCCCAAAATGATTGGTGCTCCTTTTCCCGAGAAGGTACGAACTCAAAAAAAACTAGTTATTCACCCCAACGGGCCCATTGGAGGCGTGGCGCCTCTTGGAGCCTCTCTTGGGCCCAGAGCCGCTGCCGCAGCGCGCATTGCTCGTTGGCCAGGCGTAGGAACCCCGCGCGGGCGGCCTGGCACAAATGCCCCGGCCTTGACGGCCGACAAAATAAGTTGCAAGAATCAAGACCTTTCACCTGGAGGTTGATTGACAGCAGAAGAAAGGTCCACCAAATAATCAGAAATGGAGGGTCCACCATGATTGATGGACAGCAGGAAATGAATGAGGGTCCCACCAACCAATCACCTGGAGAGTCTTTGGGCATACTAGATGAGCGGTCACGGCCGAAACTTGCCGGTGGGAATCGGTTTGAAAGCCGAAAGGACCCGGCCTTGATGCTGTTGAAGGCCTGCGGCAGCTCCGGCAGCGTGTCCAGCGCCGCCAGCAGCTGCTGCACCTTGCCGCAAATGTGTTGCGTCGGAGTCTTTGAGGCTCCAAAACGGGTCTCAAACACCCATCAAACTCGGGGTTCCCATGAAACAGTCCCAAATGTGGGTTCATAAAAACTTCTGTCCTTTGTGACAGGTTCCCAAGCTGGGCGACCTGGTGGTTTCCCATTGAGAAAAAGAAAGAGAGAAAGAGAGAAGGTGACAGTGGCAGGGATAGAGACGGACACAAAGAGAGGGCAGGTGAGAGTTGCGTAAAAAGGATTCGTTCAACCGTTGCCCACAAAAACCCAATCGAATGGTGTAAACCGAGAGGTCCTTCCTCTAGTTGCCACAAGCAAAGGTGTCCGAAAGTTGAGAAATTGAAACACTGGAAGGATGGCGGTCTGAAGCCAATCAGCTGCAGTTGCTTAGGAACACCTTGCCAAGCGCTTGCAAAGACACGGCTTGCCAAGCCCGGCCTTGGGTGACGGCTCCGCTTGCGGCACCGGCTTCTGCGAGCCGCTGTAGCGCACTGGCCTTTTTAGGGCGTGCGGAGTGGGTTCATAGATGTGGCGGCAAGCGCCAACATGAGGCGGTCCGTTTTGCGTTTTGGGGGGCAATTCGATTCAAGTGGAGGCAGTCACCCAAAATAGCGAAAGAGCATCGCAGCTCAGCTGGAAAAGCACTAGGTTGCAAACCCTCAACGCAGGTACGTCAAAAGGATCTCTCCAGCTTACGTGCAGCAAACCACATGTCCACACACACACGTGCTTGCTTCCGGGTCGCCAGGTTCGTGCTCGTCGTGGAAATCCTCTGTTTGGCCCTCTGTTTGGCCAGCTGTTTGAGGACTTTGACGCTGTTGAAACATCCTCATTCAGGTCTTTCCAGGGGCATGAATCTGGTGCCCAAGTTTGCAAAGCCAAGGAAAGCTTGCCCAAGCATGCCTGGGCTTGCTGGGGACCGCCGCAGGCCCCTTTGGAGCAGGCGAGGCCACCGCCGAGGGCGCCGTGTTGCCCCGGGGGGTCTTGCGCTCAACCCGGGGGCTCCTGGAAAAGCAGCTGAGCGGAGAGGCTCACACGAAACCCAAACCTCACTGGATGGAAGTTTGAATTCTGCAGAAAAAGACAGACTCTCGTCTGTCAAATGATCAGCGAAGAACTACAATCTCTTACAAGGGCCGTTGCTTTTGGGTTGCTCGTACCCCTTCTGGCTTCCATTGTGCAACACCTCCTTTGGATCGGAAAGGATAGGAAGCATCTCAAGCCAGGCAAAACCCTCCACAAAGGGCGGCCAATCCCTTGCTGCCATCTTGTCATCCCGAAGGACAAAATTTAAAAAGGCTACAGAAAGCCGCGGCCTTTTTTCCGGCATCCGCTGTCTCGGAGACTTCGGATTGTGGACACGCCTTGGTGCCGCCAAAATGCTGTACAAGTCTAGCATTAAGTGCAAAAGACTTCAGAATTGAAACTTGAAACGGATCTCGACCCTCAGGCCTACGAATCCGCGCAAAACCTGCCCTGTCTAATTGAAGCAAGGCTTACGGAAGCTGGCAGATCATGGCGGTGCTGAGGCAGTTCCCCTGCTCCGGGTTTTTGGCGCCGGTGCCCTCTGCGTTGTAATACAGGCTGCAGCCACCCTGGCAAGCCCCGTAGAACATGCAGCCCTTGGGCCAGCTCGGCAGTTGAGCCTCAAACAGCACCTCCGGCCAGCCTTGCCCGTAGCAGCCTTGGTTCGGCCGAAGAGCCTCCGCCGCCTCCACGCACTGCGCCCGGTCCACCGGCACGAAGGGCGCTCGGCAGGCAAAGTCCTCGTGCGGGGTGGCGTACGCGCGGCCCGATGGAGCCCTCGCGACTTTGAGCCAGTCCTGGAGCGACGCTGCTTCCGTGGATGTAGTGCTGCAAGACCAAAGCTGAATCTTCGCACCGTTGGAGGCGTGGTTGCCGTCCACGACCATGCACATGCCGTAGTTGTTTTGGGACGCTATTTGCCCATCATTATTGACGCTCCAGCGCTGATTCTCGTTGGCTTCGTTGCACTTCCAAAGCTGGATCTTGGCATCATTCACCAACTTGTCCCCATCAATGACCACGCAGTATGCAGGGTCTGCGCTGCTCCGAATCCGGCCTGCCTCGTCCACGCGGAAGTTCTGGCCGACACTTGACCAGCTGCGATCACACTCCCAAAGGTGCAGCTTGACGCCGTTGCCGATGCGGTTTCCGTCGCTGGACAAGCAAAAGTTGGGGGAGGCACCATAAGCCAGATGTTCTACAGCCGGAGCCCTCCTCGTGGCGTTGGAGCCCCGCAGTGCGCTGTCTGCAGCCGCCATTCCAAAGCACAGGAGCAAGCGCCTTGCCATGATCCTTCCGATGAGACAGGGTGATCTTGAGAGCTTGAGCCAAAGCCTCGGAAAAGCTGAGCCCTGCTGTGTGCGGCCAATTAATCTCTGCCACCAGCCCCTGCCTTATCCCCCCAGTCAGACCACCACCCTCCCAGGGACTTCTCTCCTTGGGGATTTTAGAAGCATCTGCTGCAGTTGGATGGACTGCTGCCGCTGCAGCTCTTGTAGCTGCTGTACCCGCAGCGACGGCACCGCAGGAGCCATGGCGAGACTGAGATCTGAGCGAGCCGAACCACGTACTACGCGTCCGTCGGTTTTCCCTTTTCATTGGCGATACAAAACCCTGTGGTTGCCCTGGATCGTGGGCAATAACCTTTTGCTCGCTAAAGACTTTCCCGTCAGGGCTAGAGAAGGGGACTCTGAAACCAGGCGAAAAGCAGGCTTCTAGGCATAGGAACATGCGCTTGCAACAATCTGGCCCCAGCAACATGACCGCAGAAGTTGATGCTTGTTTTTTGCGCAGGTCCAGTCATTGCAGACTGTTGGTTCTGGGGCATGACCTAGTCGAGCACACTCATCATGTTGACCAGCAAAGTTGCTGCAGTCTTTCTTGTCACTGAGCGGTTCTGGGTCACAGCATGCGAAAAGGCAGTGCTCAAATGCAATGCTGCAACACCGAAATGCCAGCATGCAACCCAGGACTGGTGTAAACCACACATTCAAGCTTGCAAAACCCTCAACCAAACCTGCAGGTTGAGGTGGTTATTTTTCCGGTGAAACTATGGCGGCCACGCGTCTTCAACGGGGCAGGTGCTCCTTTGAACAAGAAGCCACACTATGATACATGGAGAGTTGGCAAACTGCTTGATTCACCCCGAATAATTGGAAGAATAGCAAATCGTTCGCATCTCAGCTGAAACACGGAAAAGCTCCTTCCAGATCCATCAACGATCATTGCTCGGACATGCCAACTCTGTTCATTAACGTTTGACCCAGAGAAGTGAAACAACATGAAGCAACCAAATATTCGAAGGGTCCATACTTTGCTGCAAGCGCTGAACCACCTAACTGGGCCTGAAGCACATTAGCGCACGCAACCAAAGCCGTTTCGCTTCAGATCGCGAGACAATGTTTCTCTGCCTCGCCACGCTGCAGCGGTGAGAAGACATGCGTCATGCGTCACAAACCTTCTTGTGCGAATCATGGTCGCGCTTCCCTTGGGAACGACATTGGTTGTCTCCAAAGGCCACTGAAGTGTCGCTTGGCAAGGGACAAGCCACTTGGCGGTTCCAGGCCATCACTTGCTGGAGCGCCAGCTCGACCTGAACTTTGCAAGACCCCGTGTTTAAGCGGAGAAATGGAAAACAATGGCAATCTAACCCGAATGATTCCACTGGAAGATTCAGGAGAATCAACGCTGGCACTACGATCTTGACCACTTCTGAATAACAACAACAATGACTAGCGCAGTATCGTGGGAAATTTGAAATTTGAAACAGGCACAAATTCACTGGATTTTCACCACCTAATTGCTTGGCAACCATTCAGGAGGTTGGGATTAAATGCGAAGCTAGCATCCCTTTCCTCTTTGATGCCGTGCTCGCAGCCCAACTGATCCTTGAGCACAACACATCTGACAGGCCCTGCAGCTGCCACCCGTATGGCCGCAATTGCAGCAGTTGACCATTCACAGGGGCTCCTGTCTGCCTCCCATGCATCTAGACGGTCAAATGTCATCTTCACCCGTTTGGCTATCTTTGAAAATATGATCAATCATGAGAGCCTGTTGCTCTTCGTTTCACCATCCCTGGCAAACCTCGGCGTTGACCACCTCCCCTTTTCGACCAAGCCACGGAGACGCCAGCTTGGAAGCGGCCGCAGCAATCTCAGCGAAACGAGTCCCCTTCGTGACATGAGATGCCCTCAGTGCTTTTGAAAGGGAGCAACGTGAGACTGTCCACATTCTGAGTTAGGTTGGTTGGCTCAACACGTCCCCTGAACTGCGAGCGGCAAGTATGAGATCACCTAGTCAAATGTTGGTGAGGTGAAACCAACAAAGCCATTGAAGGAAGGCGCCTTTAATTCAGGTCGTGATCGGGTTCGCACGGATGCTGAAGCGCACTTGGCCCGTGACAGAAGAAACCAGGCCACTCCTGGACAGCGGATATGGCGGGCGTGGACCAAGAGACCCGGCCATGCAAACGGAACGCGCTCCTCTTGGGAGACTCCTCCGAAGTGCCTGGGCAGGGAGACCCGATTTTTTCCCGGAGGGATCTGAAGGACTGCGGGGGCGACTCTTTGAAGCCAGGCATCGAAACTGGTAAAGGCCTCCCTCATTTGCTCCATGTGGAAAGCACACCAATGCACAGGCCCATCTTGGACCTTCGATGTGCCCTCGCAGCAGCTGCCTTTGGGCTTCTCGACCCGCGATTCTGTCATGGTCACCTTCGAGCCGGTGTTGCCTCAAGCCGTAACAACGAGACGCATCAAAAAAAAGGCCGCAGAACCAAATCCTGAATTCATCCCTGATGTGGGTGTGGCTCAAAATTCGCCTCGGCCCCAAAGGGGCCAAGGGCGCTCAGATCTCTTCTCCAAAGAGAATCTTCGCTTTTCCCCTCCCCCAACCCCCAACCAAAATTTTGCCCCAGCCCCCCACCCATGTCGGCTGGCCCAAAATCCTCAGGCCCAAGCTTGTCTGAAACAGGCCCGCCCACGGCCCCGAGTCATCCAGCAAGCCCAGCCCAGCCTGCCCAGCCCAGGCTCCGGCGCGTCTCAGGGCATGCCAGCCACTAGGCCGGCCCCCAGCTCCCAGCCCACCAGCAGGCTCAGCCCAGCGTGCCAAGGTCAGGTTTGTCTAACGTGTCTGAGACCCCGCCTGCCCAAGCAGCTCAGCCCAGGCTGGCCAGGCCCCAAGTCATCCAGCAGGCCCAGCCCCTTCGGCGCAGTCTGAGACTGGTCTCAAAGTATGCCAGCCTGAGACTAGCCTCAGGCCCAGTCCCTCAGCCCGCCTGGTGGCGTGTCTTACGTGTCTGCGACTGGCCTCAGGCCCAAGTGTGTATGAAACAGTCCTTGCCCATCCAGCAACCCGCCCAAGCACAGCTCAGCCCAGCCCGCCCAGCCCAAGTTCCAGGCGCAACCAGCAGCGTACTCCGGCTGCCCGGCCCTCAGCCCAGCCTGCCCAGCCCAGGCCCCAGAGCATGCCAGCCACTAGCCCCAGCTCCCAGCTCACCAGCAGGCTCAGCCCTCAGCCCAGCGTGCCAAGGTCAGGTTTGTCTAACGTGTCTGAGACTGGCCTCAGGCCAACGACCAGTCTCACGTGTCTGAGACTGGTCTCAAGCTCATCCCCAGAAAGAGGTCCTTTGAGCAGCTGAGATAGTCTTGGTTTTGGATTTCAAACCTTCCGAGCAGGACGGCTTCCGAACATCGAACTAGCACGGGCGAACTGGTGCGGTCACAAGCTTTCAGTAGGATTCGGACCTTCCCAACACTGGATTTCGGTGTTCCTGACCCTTCCCTCAAACTAGGCTGGGCCGAGGTGGGCAACGCGAAGCGTTTACAATTAAACAGGAGGGGTTACGCAGGTTTTGGTCCATGTTTCCACTTACAAGGGCTCCATGTTGGTACCGATTTTTTGAGCCACAGCCATGTGGGCTGACCAGCAGGTTCTGTTCCGTTTGGCCTCTTGATTTGGACATGTGTTGCAAATTCTTTGTTTGGGCAACGTGAATCGCCGCGTTCAGAGTCAAGACAACAGGAGGAGCTGGCCCGACATCCGAGGCACAGGCTTAAGGCAGGCACCTACAGGGAGAGCTTTGGAAAGGCCGTCAATTTTGGTGATTCTTTCTTTGGAGTCGGTACCCTTCTTGGGTTTTAAAGGGAACCAATGGAAACCAGCCATTTTGGGGGTTTCCCCTACTTTAAGACAAGCCCACTTCAGCGTCTTTATTGCAAGCCTGGCCAAAATTGACGAAGTGACAGTGACAACTGATCCAGGCGTCGGCCCGTCTGAGCCTTTGCTCCTTCTAAGAACATCCGCATCGGAAAAGCAGTCCAACCATTAAAGGCAAAACCCGCCTGCGACCGATAGTGCTCGATCTGAACTCGGTTCTCCATGGCTTGCCTGTGCGGTAAAGGCTGCTCACAGTTGGATGTGCTACCAGGGCACCACTGCAAGCGGTCTTCCTTCTGGTTCCTTGTACAGTAAACAACATGCAAAGCTGGCATGACGGTGCAAAAAAAAAGATGCGTGCAGCCTCGGATGGACAAACATGGAGTTGCACTACTGTCAGTGCCAATTGCAAAGTTTTCCCCGCGTCCCTTTCAATGCTAAGCTTGACCATGGACCATGGCTCACGTTGGCTTTTCTGAGAGCTCCACATCTCTGTCCGTACACGCTGCTGTCCCTGCCGATCCGTCTCAGCCTGCGTTGCAGCAGCTGCTGGCATGCTTCTCTCGACCTTTGTTGGGTGTGTCTCAAAGTAGGGACTCTTTTTGAACTTTGGTTTGACATGATCGTCGCATTTCTCTCGAAAGTGCCGTCGGAATTGCACGGATGCCCCTTCAATGGAGACATACGCTTGTCCGTTAACTGCAATTACTACAACTACCGCGTTCACCCAACGTCAAAAGTATGGCCCTGACTCACTGACCCGCTTCAGGGGTTCCCGGGGTTCCCTATAACTTTCCTTTTGACCTCTCCTCAATTCGCTGAAGGAGATCGGAGAGCACGGAGTCCATCTCCTAGGCGCGCTCGCGGACGCGTCGAGCCCCGGGTCATCTTGCTGAAACAACGGCTGCCTCATTGGCTGCATCTTCGAAGCGGTTGATCAAAACGTTCATCCCACAACACTGAGGATACATGTGCGGGTCTTTCGATGGCCAGACGCTGTGTTCTGATCGAAAGCCTTCCCGTCCGCGGGAGCCAAGCAAACCTCCAATCCCCTTCCCCCTCCCTCCGCTTTGCTTCGCTGCTATGCCGAACAAAAACTATCGCCAAAACCAAAGGCTTTCGGCTTCAGGAACCTCCATGAGGTTTTTGCTAGTCCCGCTCCTGATATCTCCGGGCGATCATGCCATCCGTCGAATCAATCTCTGCTCTTAGGGCCTGGCCGGCTGCTGGCCGCGAAATATGGCTGAAAAGTTGAAGCAAAGCTTGGTAAGCCAGTCAATAGACAGCATTGCACTTGGCCATCGAACATTTCAGTGATAGAAACGCGCCGACGTCGCGGCAGCACGCGTCTCAATCTTCCGGCAGCGATGCCTGCATAGCGCATATACTCACGTCTGTCATGCAATACTGAGAACATCCTCGCACCCATGACAAGGCTACAGACAGACACATAGCCACCAGATAATGCGGAAAAAAATGCCGATCAGGTCTGCCAGAGTGAATTGCAGGATCAACGGAGATCACAAACCATGGCTCGTGCATCAAGAATCCTGGCCTTGCCGATGTTTGAAGCTTCAAAAGGCTTTTGCCAGTGACTGCTTCATTCCTTGGCGGGGGAACTGAACTCTTGTGACCCCTCACAGATCTCGGAGACCAACTGCCAGGCGCACCAAGTATTTCTCCATCAAAAAAAACACCTGCATCCCTTCCTGTGAATGACAAATTGGCTTCAACATGCAAGGAACGTATCGTGATAAACAAAGCAACTTCGTCCAATGTCCACGTGCCCTCCTTGGCTGACCGGTTCACAGCTGAGAAATCCACAGCCAGTCGAAGCCAGCCATGAAGTCCTCTTGTAGGATGCTGCCCTGCAACCGCTGCGAAAAGCATTGTGAAGGGCTCTCTGCCCCAATGTCAAACCTTATCAACAAAGAGTCTGTCAAGTTCTATTGTCAGGGCCCAGTGCACTTGTTCCATTGCCATTCTGCACCGCTGCACAGCTTCCAAAACACCACCACACACACACACACAAAACATAACACTGCTCTGGCAGCTCAAGCATGTTTGATTTTGAGTTCAAAGCCGTGGAAGCAAGGCCATGAACCGAGCATTGTGCATGTCGTTCACGTGCTTTCTAGCTTGCTTTTTATGCATGCGGATTTGATCCCCAGCAAGTTGCAAGACGCCTGTCATCAAAATGGAACTGCTGCTAGTCGCTACAACATGAGACTGCGACTTTGGTGCCGATGTGCCAACTGCTGTAGCGCCAACCGCTCAAAGGACTGTGGATACGGGATGCATGTCAACAACCCCTTGCCTAGCCACCTCTCTTGCATTCAAGTCTCACCGACCTGCGCACCTGCTGATTGACGTCGAGCCAATCGAACATCCGAAGCAAGTCAGGTATCGGCCTTGGAAACAGAATGGACTCAGAATTCAGGAGAATTCATGCTTGGGTCAAGAGCCCTATAGCTTTTTGGGACCCTGGATTGGCTCTCTGGGACCCTGGATTGGCCCTGGGACGCTGGATTGGCTCCTTGGCACCCTGGATTGCCTCTCTTGTAAGCCATAATGTCGTTCATTGGTCTCGGCTTGGTTTGAGCCAAGACGACCTGCTAAACAATTCCACAGGTTTGAAGAACCGTCTGCACTTGGTGATCCAGCATGTTGGCCACGCTCTGCAGCTTTCGGAGGTAGTACGGCGAGGACATGATCTCCACATAATCCTCGCAAAATTCGATGTTGTTTCCTTGCTTGCTTGCATGCTTGCCTGCCTGCTTGCTTCTGCTTGCTCGCTTGTTGCACACGCAACAGTCAGCGGGCCAAATGCCTGCTAACAAGGCGCTTCAAGAGATGTGGCTATTGGTGGGTTGTGGTCGGCTTGGTCGACCATGTATGCTCTTCGAGATGCGTGTCCTTGATCAACGGCTTTCCTGAGCCTACTGTATGTGTTGTGAGTTTGCTGTGCGCTTGTCGGCTACAAAGGTGTTGCATGTTCTAGAACTTTAGGAGCGTGCCGTTGCATAACGAAGAAACGCAGAATAGACTGTTACTCGCGATGGCAGGCATGGTGAGTCTCCAGGTGTTTCTGGGGAATGTAGAACCTCATACATCTGCCCCTGACGTGCACTCCTTGCACAACTGAAATTCCTTGAATTCATGACTCACCCAAGGTCCCAGCGGGTTTCTCTAGGTTTACCCATGTGCCACCAAGGCGGGAAAAAAAACTGTCCTGCTTCTCCATGACACCATCTTTGCTGGCAGCGAAGAAGACTTCGCTGAGCGCTTGGGTCACTTTGAGGCCTCGCTTGGGTCACTCAGCCGTGCCCGCCATCGTGGGTATTTGGTGGCGGTGGAATATGCTGGTATGTCAGGCTGTCCAAAGAACAAAACCCACAAGGATATCACGGCCAATGGAAATACAACTCCTTAGGGGGCTTGCGGCTTGCCCCATGCCAAGCTTCGGGGGCTCCACCCGGCCGCTCCGCTCGCTCCGCTCGCTCCGTCTCCGTGGCTCCGGGCGCACGCGCTCCGCCTTCTCCTCGTCCTTCCGCTCTTGGAGCTGCCGGACCTGCACCGAGCGGCGGCATCCATTGCCTTTGGCGGCCACAGGCCACAGAAGGCCGCCCAAGGGAAACGGAAACCGAGTTTGGGGTCATTTGACACGCAGCTGGGAACATGTACTGTCTTTGCAAGGCCGGAAAACACGAATGGCAGGCAAAACAAAGGGTTCCAGAGACAACATGCGGCTGCAGATTCTTGTACTGGTTCAAGCCAAACAATGAATTATTTCAGCTAGGCTTTGGATGCGCTCATATAATGAGTCAGGTAATGCCTGGGGACCGAAAAGCATCGCGCCTCCAGCATGTTGTCACTAACCACCTGGACTACAATCGGGGATGTGTCAAAACAGGGCGTCAAACGCTGCGCACTCTACACCTTGCACCTTAGAGCCGCACTCCTGTCATGATGCTGAGGAGTGCCCAGGAGGACAGCACGGTGAACAAGACCCAGACCTTGCACTGCTTTAGCACAGCTTGCACAACCAAGCAGGAATATCTGCCATAACAGACATAGTAAGCTATCAATCAAACTACAATGACCTAGGCTAGCTGCAGGCTTGAGGAAAGGAAAGGTTCGGAACAGCGGGTCCACCTCCTCCCAATACTGGCCTCAGCTCTGCAAAGTGCGCTGCTAGTGCTGGAGAATCAACCGAAACCAACTATGTGGTCAGGGCGCTCAAAAATTTATAGACACATCCCTTACCACCCGTTTGCTTTTGCTCGCACGCGACCACGAGCAACCTCGCTGGTTGCCTCCATGGGACCACTCACCTTGGCCGCGGAGCGCGGAGCTCTTTCTCAATTGGGGAACCCCTTCGCAGATCGTGGGCCAGGAAACCAAGCGAACACGATACCACACATGTCATTGGTCCTCCGATAGCAGCGTGTTGAGTTAAAACTGGGGCAAGAGATGGCGTCTTATCCGATCATGGGCTTCTTTCATGCAGTGATGAACCTATTGCGCATCATCCAAGGCATGCCAAACGGCCCAAGTTGTCAAGAACTGCCTAAACACCAGCGCATGCCCTCCAGTCTGACCTGCTTAAGATGACCCTCTATCAATCTGGCGCTTCACATCAGCGCAGGTAGCTAGCATTGCAGCAGCATCTTGCTGGCACCGCATCATCAGGGCACTGCCGCAGCAGCCAATACGAGCAGAACACGGCTCTAGCAAAAACATGCAGCTGGATTCAACAGCAAAGAGTTGTAGCAGGTCAAGGGAGAGCTGAGGTCAGGTCAAGAAGGAGCCTCGGCGCGCACATCGTCTGCGCTGCATGACGAGCGCCAAGAAGGGTGGCACCTGGCTGAAAGCGAAAGGACGGCAGGTGGCAGTCACTGAAGCGAGGATCTGCTCTAGTGGACTTCGATGCTTCAATGTGTTCCTTTCAGAGCTAAAATACCAAGAAATGAGTCGAGATATTGATTTCTCATGAATGGCAAATGCTTAGCGAATGATCATGTTGCAGGCACAAAGGCAAGGGTTGAGAGCCTCTGCCATCAGCTTCGCCATATCTTTGGCGCTGCCCGAGCCCACTGCGTCGGCCGCTTTGCTGGCATCCTGGTGACGGCTCGTTTTAACGGCACGAGCCAAAGGCATCAGGGGAAAGCCAAGATTGCCCTGGTTGAAATCTGTTTCAACTAAGCCCGAAGAGAATGGCCCAACAGCATTCTTGGCAAGGCCCCACTTACTCCCGCGCCTGCTAGTACAAAGCTTGCCCTTTATTTCATGATCCTGTCATGATCCAAAGGCAGGCACTGAACGGTCCTTCACCTGGGAAGGTGCTTTGCCCTTTGCGAGCTGGGCTGCCTTGGCATGTACGCCATGAGTCCCACAAATCAAGCAGGGCTGTATTCCAAGAGAGGCAAGCATGTGTCGAGGGCAAAGCCTCGAACGCAAGCCCTTGGGTCCAAATGCTCTTGCAACAAGTGGGCAAAGTTGGCAGCTTGAGACTTGCATCGGCCAAGGCGCCTTGTCCTTCGAGGGAACCTTGTCTTTGCCCATCTTCTTCGTAAGCTTGTCTGTCGGAATCTGGTCCTTGCCAAAGCCCATGTCCTGCATAAGTGGAAGCCGCTGCTGTGAAAACCGGCACAGTCGCCCAGTTTAGGTCTCTTTGTTTGAGCAACGAGAAACGAACAACAAACCCAGGCTCCTGCAGCGCAGATCCGCCAGATTCGCTCAGTCTCCTTCTGGAAACCCTGGTGCCCGCCAGCACTCCATCCCAGTGGATGTAGTCTGGCCTTCGATGGCGCGTTGCGCACATGGAATGGCTCAACGACAGGGGTCGAAGTACAAAGACGGGTCTGTGCTTAGTGCGAGCTTCCCGCCAATGCCGCAGCCCCGATGGGCCGGAATCTATACGACATGTCATTGCTGATGCACAGACATCCTCGAGCCAGGCGTCTCTTTCAAGAGCTTGTTGTAGGTCCGGGCCGACATCATGGTATTCGCCAGCATGTTGTCACGGATCAAGTGGCCAGCAGCAGCGATGGCCATGTTTGAGGCAGTCTTTGCCTCGGAAGGAAATGCGCGAGGGGCCTTTGGTTGTTAGCTCCCACAGGTACCCTACCAGCATCTGGGATGCCACACTTCTCCCAAGCTCCCAGCCACATGCAGGCCCATTTCAGCTTGCCGTGCAGCGATAACCGCGCGCTCGGCATTCTCTCGCGTCTGGTTTGTCCTTGTTCTCAACCAAAAATGTGGTGGCTAGAAAGTTCATGTGTCAAGAGTGAGCCGGTGTCAATGTCCATTGGTGTGTCCCCGCAAACATGGAGTAACCCACGTTTCTCAGTGGTATTTTGGTGTGTGCGCCCCATGTCATCCCCTTTTCTACCGTAGATGACCGTAAATATTGACTGTTGCTCGTGTGCCTCTCAAATAAGCTGCGTGCCAATACTGGAGACTCTGGTCATTGATGTCCTCGGATATGATCAGTCCAAAGCAGAATACCGCCAAACGAGCAATCATCCTCAGCCTCCAAAAGAAAACGGCACTTGCAAGCCTGTTCCATGCCCTCGAGCCATGCCAAGCTGCCGGGTTTGGGTCCAGCTGCTGCTCTGGATTGGTGGGATCGAAGTCGAAACTCATGGAGCGAGAATCATCAGAACGCCATCGGAACCCGTCAAAGAAACCTACCGGAGCAACTGCAGAACTCCGGGGTAGATCTTGCAACAATGTCTTCTTTTTCAGCTTTAGCCTATTCGCAAATGCCGGAATTAGCGAAGTCGTTGGATGCAGTGGGCGAGTGGCCGCCTTGTGCTTGACTGTTGCATTCAGTGGCCTTGAACTTGCGGATAGCTTATGTGCGAGGTCGGTGCCAAAGAGAGATACTCCAACATACGAAGTCTGCAACCAACCAACAGGGAACTGTGGCCACTCTTGACCCGTACAATAGAAATTTCAGCTCAAGCCGAACAGCTGCAGGAGTGAACTCGACTCAGTACATCCGTGCCCTTCCATGTCTTCGCTTTGAGGTGCCGGCTGTTCATCAGGCCAAACAGCGTGAAAAGCGAGTCCAACCTATGCACCGTTTGTCGGCTCGGGCTATCGTCCGGCAAAGCACCAAAGAACTCACGCTGCGAGTGGCCCTCAAAAAGGCGAATGCAAATGTCTTTAGGGTTTTGGATCGGCAGGGGGAGCGCCCCTCAGTTGGATCGGTCTTGAATACTATGGAGCGGATGGAGCGCATCAAGATCGGGAGCCTTGCTCTTCGGAGCTTTCCAGGCTCCCGCACACATTGCTGAAGAGACCCCGGACATGGGGATCCAATTCCTGCCAAAAGCTGCCATTGCCAAGAGATGCAGTCTGGGTGCTGACAAGGGCGCTCCTCAGCTCCGCTCAGCATCGCATTGCCTGATCAGGCCCCGTTGTCGGTGTATAAATCTTGTGGTCTGCAAAGAGTCGTTGCCCGTGCCTATGAGGTTTGTCATCACCAAAGCGCAGGCCTCAGTCATGAACCGAAGAAGCCGTGGGTGGCACAACTGCAGCTCATGCTCCATGGTTGCCCTCTACAATATCAGCTAAAGTGCATAGAGAGCCAAGAGCGTCAGCACAAGCACCCAGAACATGCTCTGCAAGGCCTGTCCGAATTGTGCGAAGCGAGTGGCAATGGTCCCCGAAATCATGTGCGACCCGATGCTATGCAAGAAACCATAAAGCCAAAAATGCTGGCCTTGACGATGCCCATGGCAAGTTGGTAGACGGGCCGAACCACCTGGTTAGCATTCCGCGACAATCCCTGTCCATTCACAAAGTAGAAGCCTTGACCAAGCGCAGCAGCCGGAGGAGGCGCATGAGCCGCAGAAGCCGCAAAAGCCTCAGACAGGGCCAGACCAGTAGTTCGCGGTGAAACCCCAGCAGCTCACAAGCAACAGCGACTGTGTACGACTGGCTCCCGGATCGCTGCTACTTTTGCACTAGAAATCTAATCAAAGGGCACTGTACAAGCAACCAAATTTCTGCGCCCAGAATTGGGGACCTCGTTTGATGGGCTCAATTCGAATGTGGAAGTAGGCTTGAAGTCTGGGCCAACAATCTCTCTCTGGATCGAAAATCAACGGCCGTGTTGGTTGGCCGGCGTCCAAAAAGATTGCCCTGCAAGTGACCCATCGCCGGCTTCCTGTAGCACGCTTTCCTCGCCCTGCCCCCAGCCGGGCGGCGTGAGAAGGTGTGGCAGGTGCCCCGAGCCGTGCTTGATCTGCGAGGTGCGGCATGGGGTCCCGCTCAGAGATAACCACACAACCCGACTCCAAAATCGTCGATTCGGTTGAAGCCCAAATTGTGGAAGAGAACCAGAACAGTTGTGTATGCCCGTGGTTCATGCTTGAACTAGCATTGCTCTCCGAATGAGGTGTGCAACTCCATGTTTGTTCTCTGAGAAATGCGTGGGAAAAACACATGCAGCACATGCAGAGAGAAATAAGAGCAACGGGCGAGAGCATGGCTTGCTCCGAACCATCTGCCCCACAGCAACTTGTGACCTGCACATCGTGCAGGGCTGATGTTTGCTTTCTCCGGAGGGCCACTTCATAGATTCATGATCCTGCGTTGCCAAGGCAGGACATTCTGCTCAACCCTAGCCCAGAGAAGCCGCAAAGGATAAGCCTTTGGAGTTTTCGTGCAGTCACAGATGTCATCCCCCAAAGCCCACAGCATCTTGCCTGCAAGACCGCCAGCACCCACTGGTCTGCCTCAGGTTCAGAACAGGTTGCCGAGCATCGCATTGGCTAAAGGGAACAGTGGCCTTGCAAAGTGCATGAACGCCCCACCGGTCAATGCATCACCAAGGGATAGAGGTTCTGGACTTTCGAGAGAGAAATGCAGGGCGCGTCGCAGCACGCGAGGCGGAAAGGCTCTGGCCACGCCCGCAAAGACGATAAAGCTATCCAGGTAGTTCCAGAGCAACGCAAAGTCCTGGCAGCTGATTCCCAGTGTCACTCAAATGCTACGAGAGGCGACCAAATGCAACCCAACTTACACGTTAGCAATCTCTTGGATTGGCATCACTAGCATCCTAGCAATGGACCCACCAGTGCCCCTTTCAGAGTTGAGGCACCAGCATTTGACAACTCGAACAAAGGCCCGTTGGAATACGGGGTGATTCTCAAATTTCACCAGTCGGTAAACGGCTGTACGCGTGTGACCATCGAAGCAAGGGTGAAGGGCTTCGTATTCCAGAGCTCGTGTCCATCTAAAGTGTGTGTGCGTGTGTGCGTGTGTTTGCTTCTGCACAAGGCCTTGTCGTGTTCGATGTTCCCTAAAATGCGCTTTAGTCGATGCTTTGCACCCGCAAAGGCCGGAGTAAACAAAACATGAGTTAGTCAACTAGAATGCGGCTTTGACACTTCCCACCGCAGAATTAGGCAAGTGGAAAAAGTGGGATGTCTGACATGGTGCATCTTCTCATTGGTTGGTGTTCTTTGGATTGCCCTTCTGAAGCCACAAAAAAGGGGGGCCACTCAAAGCAGGGCGCGCGCCTCGGCAGAGGTCCAGAAGAACTTTGTCAAGCCCTCCTGGCCAAGGCTGCATCACTTCCAACAATTGTGGAAGTGAACCGGAGGGTTTTGAAAGGCGATCTTCAAAATCTGCCCTGTCTACTTCCATCATTGCTCAAAATTGAGTGTCACTTGAGTGACCAATCCCAACCGAGCGCCGAGGGGGGTTTGGCGAATGGTTGTCCCCCTGCCAGAGGCCTGCATTCCGATCAAATTGCATCTCAGACTCAATCCCCGGTTTTCTGGGCATGCATTCAACTCGGCCCTCTCTCCCTTACAGCTTGCCATCACTATCCTACAAGAAAACAAACGCTTTCCCTCCACACCCTTGTGTTGAACAGGACTACCTGCCCCACAGTACCAGAATTGCAGCGGGTTCGGCCCGAGGATCAATGAATCGTGGCAACTGCCGAGGCCCCAGCATGCCGCAGCTTAGCGATGAGCTCCACGAAGAAGAACAGGAGGAAGGCCTGCGGGTGAAAAGTTTCGTTTGGGGCAGCGCACTTCGCACGCTTCGCGCTAAGCTACACAGACCCTAGGTGGCCTCCGTGCCAAGACTGGTTTCGTTTGCCTCAAAAGATGACCAGGGAAGCTCCGTAGTTTGGCACATTTCGGGAGACAAACGACTCTTTGCCTCTACTAAGCACTGGCAGGCCATGGCTGCGCCGTGCTTCAAATGGCCTGCTCCAGCCACCACCAAATAGAGCTTTTGATTTCGATCTCCAGGCCTCCAGCTTTGACGACGCTCCATTCTTTCAGTGTTTCTCACCCGCATGTGGGTGTCATCTTTTCTTGGAGCTGGTATCCTTTTCAGGTGGGTTTAAAGGGAAACGACAAGAAAACCACAAAGCCAACCTGGCGGCCAAACTCTGGACTCAGTCAAACAATCGCCTGGTGGTTGTCCCGGTCCCATCCAAGCCACTGGCCCATCACGATGGCGTTCAGCCCAATGATGGCGGCACCCAGCGCCTGAAACCAGCCGGCCTCCACCTGGGCCCGCTCGCGGTCCCAAAACACACCGGCTTGAAAAAGAGGACTGATGAAATGTGTCAATGAGCCCGGCAACAGAGACAGTTCGGAGAAGTTAGCAAAGGTTGGGAAAGAGAATCGGGCTAAAGGAAACCAAAGGGAAACCAATGGAAAAGTACGGGACAAACTCGCTTTTGGGGGTTCAAACATACGAAAGCCATCAATGAAAAATGAGCCAAAGCTCCCAAGCTTCTGGCCCAGGCAAAGGCGTCCACAGACACCACGGCTACCTGAGCTTCAGCTCAGGAAAGCGCTTCGCGGCTTCGCGGCTTCAGCGAGGCTTCTCTGAGTGAGACTGTGGCTTATGCGGATTTCTCAAAGTGGCCCCAAAAAAAATGCTTGGAGCTTTTTTGGGTTCAAATACCAGCCAAACAAAAAAATGAGAAACCCTCTTTGTCGCTGGGGAAGAGAAAGCCAGTCTGCTGGGGGAACACCCGCGAGCTTGCTTTTGAAAAGGGAAAGGAAAGCGTACAGATTTCGGGAGTACTTGTTGTGCGGCAAATCTCTGGGAACCAACCAGCTCTCTTATGGACACTTGCTTGCCGCATGCTTTTGCCTTGCAAGCCGCCCAAAAGCCAAACTGCGCCGATTGCGCGCTAGAAGGAAATGACCTGATTGAAATAGTCTTCCCCCGGTCCAAGAGTGTCCCTCTGGGCCAGGCAGTGCGTAGGATCCGCAGCAGTCTCAAGGCCTCAAGGATGGATGGAACCCCACATGGAGTCATCCTTCTGGCTGGTTGGCTTCAAAGAGGCACGTAAACTCAGCGTGTTCCCAATTTGATGCATATCAGGTTCCTTCTCACAGCGGCTGCTAAAAAGCTAGCCTTCACAAGGGCATGCCTCAAGCTCCTCTGAGACCGCAACGCGCAGGACCCTGAAGCCAGGTACGTCCTGATGAAGGCGATGTGTATGGTTGTTTCGTCACATCTTGTGATCAGGCGCGTTTGAGGCAGCATGGGTTTGATAGGAGTAAGCAATACATGCCTCCATTCAATGCATTTGTTTTACAAAATATCGGGCATCACACTCTTCTGAATTGCGTCCTCCTGTTTCATCCGGGATAGGACCTCATCGAAAACCTGGCATGCTCATGTCTGCAAGGTCTGAGCTGTCTGTTCGCTCTGCCGCGTTTCCCCTGCTACTTGCTGCAAATCTGTTGCTCATCCAAGTCTTCCTTCACCTTTTCTGACAGCCCGGACGTAGCTTCTCGAGGGTCGCAAGAACAAACCCGGACATTCTAAACGCATGACAGGCAACTCCCAAGCCGATGATCAGCAAGTCCGCATAGTTCCACATTGCCTCGACCTGAACAGAACAGGAAATCCAGCAGTGCATGACGGCCAGGACTCAAACTGGCAACCTGATTCCTTTCCGGAAGGCCTTCCCGTTCTGGCGTTCAAGCCCCGGGCCAATGTGTTGCAGAAGAACTTGCGGCCGAAGTGCCATATTCCTGACTCACAAAAATTCAGCGCAAGCAGAATGCCAGCATGCATCTATGTTCCCAAATTGAGGGATCCCTCCACACGATTGGCTTCCTATTGGAATCCGTTGTTGCAAGCCACTCAAAGGGGAAGCTCCCATGTTGAGACGCACACATGTAATGAATATCAGCACGTACTCACTACGTTCAGGTCCAAACTGGGCTTCTCTGTGCTTGAAATCAATCGTGGCATGGCAAGAGATGGATGCAATGGGGAGAGATGGAAAAGGGGGACCAGGAAGCAACCGGAAGGCAGCCAGTTTCCTAGGGGCCCCAAACAATTTGCCAGAAAGGCAAACACAGCACACACACACACACACAAAAAAAAAAAATGCTCACGAGGTCGGCACTGAGAATGATCTCCAGTACATAGAGCAGCCTGGGCCCACCATCTTGGAAAGCACGATTTACGAGCTCCCAACTTAGCCGTAGTTCAAACCTGGCATTCACGTGGCCGGGGCTTTAATTGTAGCTTGAGGCGGGACCACACAGCGACGAGCTGTCAGTGTGGATGCATGCATCAAGCCCTCAAAAGACACCTTGGAACGTGGCAGGATGATCAGCTGGGAGTTTTCCAAGAACTCGGTGTTGCCGTGCATGAACTGCCTCAGCGACCAGGGTCTGTCTGTAGGCTCTCCACGCTCTCAGAATAGTGCGCTTTAATGCGCGGTTGATGTAAGCTTCCGTAGCATCATCAAAAGGGCCTGAATGTAATGTGGCATGTCATGCAGCCGAGCGTGGGGAAACAACGGAGTAGAGTTGATGCATTGTCGTTCTGCTTTCCAACAGCAGCAAAGGTGACAGCCCTCCTGATATCTGCACTCGTGAAGAACTAAAGGCTGATGGCCTCACCAAAAGATGTCCTGGTTCCTCAAAAGAACCATAGGCCAAGATTTCTCACAGGCTCAAATTCAGATCACGACTGCCCTGCCGCATTTGCCGAGCGTTGCTGCCTCTCCAAACCCTGGGAGCCCTGCTGAAAAACCACAAGGATGTTCCACACAATGACGCCGCCTAGTCGGGAAGCAAAATGAGCTTGCCACAGAAATTGCCAGCAGGGTATATACAGGCCTCACGCAAGCGGCTGTGTGTGTGTGTGTTTGTCAAACAGACGTGGATGTCCTTTTCAATTTTCAGTCCCCACTATATTCAGACGCCCCCCATGAACAGAGACACAACCTCAACCAAACAAAAAGCAGCGTGGGGCAAAGCCGCCTACACAGAATTGGAAGATGTCCGACTCCAGAAACTTCAGCGGCCCGACCTGGCACTGGGTCTGCGGGGCTCCATCTTTGCGCTCTGAAACCCCAAAGATGACCGAAATGGCACTTTCTTTGAAAAAGAACAGGGAGACTGCATCCAGCAAAACCCTGGCACACTCTCCTTGAGTCATCAGACCAGGGTCCGGACGCTTTGGCGACTGAACTGGCTCGCAAGGGATCGGACCTTGTTGCGGCGAACAGAAATGCAAAACCCAGCCTTTGGCGTGAAGACATCGTTGCTAATCAACACATCATTTTGAAAGGTAGCTATCAGACAAGAAAGAACGGCCAAGAAGCAACATGTGTTACCGCTGGACATGATATGAAACTAGCAGCCCCCCAGGCGTCGATCCATTCTTGAGGTGCCAACATCCACCGCCGGGCGGGGAATCAGAGGCCCCTCGCGTTCTGTGTCGGCCTGGGGGGCACCACGTTGTTTCCAGCAAGCCAGCAAGTCTTCGAAGTGCCAGGAACATACTTGCAAATCGACATGGTCTGATCCAAAGAAACATCTTCGTGCAGTGCTGTGCCCGTCACATGCTCGTACTCACCGCCCACGATGAACTCCGGGATGGCCTTGGAAGTCTCTCACAGGGCCTCCCTCGCCTTGTAAGCTGTGTCCATCATGTGACGCGGGCTGCTAATGAAAACTGTCCAGTCTGTCCTTTGCAAGGCTTCAAAGTTTCCCATCCCATCTGTTTCAAGGAATCTCGAATTCGCGAGGCAGCGCAACGGGGAGCTGCGAAAACCGGAGCCATGCGCCGGGCCATGCTGGCCGAGTTCCGCAGGCGCTGCTTCTTGCCTAGCAACTTGCAAGAGATGGGAGAGACGGGAATGAAATGGGAATGAAAATGAATGAAAAATGGAAGGACAAATGGAACCACCTCTGGACCATGAATCTCCAAGTGGTGTCCTTTCCTCTGCAATCCCGTTCATTCCATTCCCTGAGCACCAAGACAATCACGGATAGCCGAAAGGATCCAAACGAGGGAAGCCCATGCACGTCAAGTGTATGCACAGCATGGATACATGTGTATATCGCTTGTACGCTTGAGGTAGACACTTTCGTTCATGCTCTGCCTCAAAGCCCTCAAGCTTCAGGGCGAACTGTTCACAGTGCGTGCAACTCTACTCACCCATGTAATACGCATTGGTCAACTGTGCATAGAGTCCTTGAGAGACCGCGGTGGTGAATGATGGTCGCAGCAAGTGGTCAGCTTGCGAAAGCATCCGATCCCAATGCCAGCATCTGAGCTGCTGGCGTATTGCCTTCATCATAGGAAACGCTCGTCTAAAGATACACCGCTCTTTAGGCTGGGCACATGCTTTCAGCGGAAAGGTGCGTGTTTGTGCCTGTCCTGGCTTGAGGGGAAGCGGAGCCTGGATCGTGTCTGGACGAGTCACATCAAGCAAACAAGTATGCTAAAGGCAGTCCCGCACCATTTCCAGGAACTTGCGATTTGTTGCAAATCTCTCATGAAGGGGGCGCCCATCATATTAATGATCTGGAAGCTGCTGGAACTAGCAGGGGCTCTCCATGTCTAGTAATCACAGCTGCGAGCCCCAACAGCTGGTGGGAGGCAGCGCCATAGCAAAGACTCAGCTTCCCTCTAATCGGTGGTTTGGATTGGTGGATTTGTGAGCTAGCGGTGGTTTCCCGTAATGTACCGTGTTTCAATTCCCAACCGCCAATCCAAACCAGCGACTCAGGCTTACCTGAAAGAAACAGGAGAGCAAACCGGAAAAGGGGAAGTAAGGTATCAAAATGGAAGCTGCAAATCCATCATCAATATGAGCAAACGGACAACCAACAATAGCCTGCAGACATCTGCGGCGAAGCAAGCACATGACTGGGCTCATTCCAGCCTGCTAGTGTGCAAAGAACTGCTTATTCACTCTCGCATGCCGCCCCCGGGCCAAGCCGTGCCTCGAGCCAACCCCGGAGGAAATTAGCTGAGGCCTTCGGCCAATTTCACCCACGCCGTGCCGGCAGCACCAGGCATGGGAACACCGCTGAGGGCTCAAGTCGGGGGCAAGAAACACCGGAAAGTGGAAGCTTCGTTTCATTCGAAAAAACAGCGGTCCTCAGTGATAGTACAGCCGAAAGCGCCGCTTGGCTGGCCCAGAAATGGGCTCCAAGTCACAGTCAGCGTCCGGTCTCCCGCATCCTTCCGAGCATTGTGGTTGGCCAAACGCCAGTTGTTCAGAGGCGAACAAGCAACGAGATTCTCAGTTCCATCTACAGGTCAGCACCAATCATATCGTCGAGCTGGAAAAACAAACGGATTAAAACTCTTATCCCAGGATGTTTTCATTGCAAATCCAAGCGGGGATCTTCATAAGAGTGAGGTCCCCCAAAACCATGCCCCTTAAGTGTATGAGGTCTCAGGTGTGTACACCGCTGCAAATTGTTGCTGGCTGCTGCTGCTGCTGCTGGCTGCTGCTGCTGCTGCTGGCTGCTGCTGGCTGCTGCTGCTGCTGCGGCTGCTGCTGCTGCTGCTGCTGCTGCTGCTGGCTGCTGCTGCTGGCTGCTGCTGCTGGCTGCTGCTGCTGCTGCTGCTGCTGCTGGCTGCTGCGGCTGCTGCTGGCTGCTGCTGCTGCGGCTGCTGCTGCTGGCTGCTGCTGCTGCTGCTGCTGCTGGCTGCTGCTGCAACTCATTGCTGGGATCTGCAGAAACAAAGAAAATGCAAACTACAGAAATGGGCCACTCCTGATCCAAGGCATCTACGACTTGCGCGCGACTTGCGCGCGACTTGCGCGCGACTTGCGCGAAAATTTAGCAATCTTCCGGATTCTTTCGACCATGACGAGATGATGATGATGATGATGATGATGATGATGATGATGATGATGATGATGATGATGATGAATCATCACTGCGTCACTTGCGCTTCACTTGCGCTTCACTTGCGCTTTACTTGCGCGGCCCCATGTTTGACTTGCGCGGCCGCTCCTGCAACACACTCCTGCAATTCAAATTGCAAGCGGCGGTGCAGCTAATTTGATAGGTCCAAAAGACCTGGGATCATGCCTGACATTGACACATACAACGTTTTTTTTTCGACTCTCGTTGCAATGCTCTCATGTCCATCAGCTGCAGGCCTCTCCCATTGGTCAGCTTCTAGAGGAAGTTTGCCTGTAGGACCAGTACTGTAGCCCCTACCAAGCCACTGGGCAGCCAAAAAACCGACACTACCTCACCAAATCCTCTCATGCGTTGCAAGGCACGTTCCAAGCCAAAAATGTGATTCGGGCACGAGCCTGTGCCCAGGCAATGGGTTAGTTGGGGTAAACAAGCCACAAAAGAAAGGTTCCCCAAAAGCAAACCAATCCCCGGTCCCAAAGATCAGGGTTTCCCACACACCAGAGAACAACAACCAAAGGAAAACAAACCAAAGTAGAAAAGGATACCCGCAACCTAGATCGACGATGAACCGCACGGGCGATCCCCACCAACCTACCCCGGGCCGAAGTCTCCTTCTCCTCCGACACGAAGGCGGTCGACGTGAGGGCCCGGCGACGCTCATCCGAGGCGCGCCGGATCCAAAACTTGAGCCAAAACACCACAGGTCGGTCACTAACGCGACGTCCCTGATGATGATATTAACCATGGCTAATCACACCCCCCTCACGAGGAGCCCGTCATATGACGGGTGGAGCGTGCCATTTACTGATAGGATTTAACTGCTCGCATGTGTCCGCAAACAGCTGGACACTACCGCCGTCAGCGGTGGAGCAAACCCACAAAGGCAGTAGCGCGACATCCCGGGCATTAAATTCCCGCCACCACCCCGAATTAATCGGGGTAACGCTGTCCAACATACCTTGTGGAAAAGTCCACATGACGACACTAGGTCACAACTGTTTGCATCAACAATGCAAGGAGTTTAATTCTTATCAGAAGCCATGAAATAAAAGATAACGTATGTCCATTAGTACCCTCGCCTAACGGCAAGAGGTACCCCTGACCATGCGTACCTGAAAAATGCTTGAATTCCGCAAACCCGGGAGTAACCCCCCATCAGTTTGCTTTCCCTCTCACTCACACTGCTTCCTGATGAACACGACCAGCAGCCCAGCAGCGGTATGGGAGAGACATGATCTCCGCGCCTCAGCGGTCCGGGAGGAACATCACCACCTCCGCACCGCGCCGACCATTGGAGAACGGACGCAAGCCTATCGGCCGCAATCCTCGTGACTCAGCCTACCGGCTATCGTCACGTCTCCTCCGGTCACGTCCGCCCCGCGCACGGTCCCTATCACGATCCCTTTCGGATCTCCTGCGATCATCTCGCCTTCGATCTCGCTCCCGATCGAGTGAATCATCACATCACGACGATCACGAGCATCGTCCCTCCTCCGGTCTCGATCATCCTCGCGCCGTGGACGGTATCTGCGCCTTCTCGACTCTCTGGAAATCCTGGTGTCCACGGTCCTAACGGACCTCCGAGAAGGAGTACGGGAAACATCCGATTCCCTACGCCTCCTCCCAGAGCGAGAGTTCGTCACGATCTGGTTGAGGGCCTCCAGTGCTGACGCATCTTCACCATTTCTGATGAAATCCCTGACTTGCTTATTCAGCACCCTGTTGGTGGAGATCGACAAGAAAGCATCCACTACCGAACTCTCAGGCAACACCAGAAAGTGACCCTCCGCCGGGCTCGCCGCAGTTCGCTCAGCCGACTGCAACCTGACCTCACCGCCTTCAGGCTTCTTCGCCATCGCCTTGGAGGCCGTCAAAGGTGCTACCGCATCCTTTGCCGAAGATCTGCCAAGCGCGGAGTGAAGATCATCTCCACTAGCCTCCCTTGCTGCCGCACCTGGACTGCTGTCAACGTCATCAGGCCTTGTCAATGCCTCTCGCTTCGTCGACTCTTTCACAGCCTCGTCAGGATCCCAACGGGACTTCCTTTCTCTCTTCTGTCCTTCAGCCGACCCCCGACTACCGCCAGGAGCGTCGACTCCGCCTACCTTCTCCTTCTTGACCTGAACTCTTGGTTCGGCCTGCTTCGTCTCCTTGGCCTCAGCCTTCGGAGGCGGAGCACTCTTCGCCTCAGACACAGAAGCGACCTTCCCTTTTGGCTCGGCCTTTGGAACCGGGGTCATTTTAGCCTTCGCACTCGGCCTGGCCCCTTCAACCGCTATCGCGACCCAAGTCTTCTTCGTCTGAGCCGCTGCTGCATCAACCTCCATCGGAGCTGGTCCAGCATCATCCTTTGCTTTTGCCTTTGGGACAGGTGGGCTACCGCCCTTACCAGATCCTTTACCTGGCACTTCACCTGATTTCGGTGGCGGGCCGGAAGGACTACCGCCCTTACCGCCCTTTTCCCCCTTCTTCCCTTTTCCTTTTCCGCCCTTAATGACCGGCTCCTGCTTGGGACCAGGACCCGGCGCAGCATGATGCACCGATTGAAGTCCCTCGATGTCCACGTTTAATGGTTCGGGTTGACGACCGTCAAGAACCGTCCTCACCCTTTCGTCACTGACGTAGACGAACGGGTCGCGGAAGGGTGCGGGAGGCTCAGACTGTCCGGCACTGATCGCCTTCTGCACCTTGGCTATCGCCTCCTTCAACCTCTTCTTCTCATCGTACCCTGTCTTTGAAACCATGTATTGCCTGAGCTGCGAAATCAACGCATGACTTTCCAGGATGTCCACGTCCTTTCGATGGGTCGGATACAATGGGGTCAGATGACCAGCCGCGGAGCCAATCACGTATGCCATCGGAATGTAGAAGGACAAGTACGTGTCATGGCGAGCGAACTTCCTAACGGATGTCGTCATACGCCTACCCCATTGAGCAGCATGCCTTGGGTTAGCCCGGAAGTACTCCGTGACCGACTCAAATCTATCGACTTGGTTGGTCAGAATCAGGTGCTTAGCCACCCACTTCTCCACGAACGCATCCGATGCCGAAATCCCTGACACATAGGAGAATTGGAAGAGCACCTTCGCCAGCTCATCCCACGCCGCATCGACTCCTCCCTTGTCCTCACCAAGATAAGGGGGCAGTCTGATGCCGCTCTGCACCGTCATCCTCAGATCAGACGCCATCGAATAGGAAATCAAGTTCCTCTTGATGACTCCGACCACTTCGGTGGGGATCCTCTTGGGCTTGAACTGCCCCATGGCCCTCACCCACTCCGGTACGATGCGGCACCTCTCGAAGTCTTTCTCCTCCGCGTTGGGGAGAAAGTTCGGGTAAAAGACCGGGAGCGCACATCCAGGACACAAATGCATCCCATTTGGCGTCATCTCCGCGCACCTCAAACAGAACGTGGTAGTCACATTCAATCTGACCTCTTCCCGCGATCGCC